ATCCATCATTCTAAATTCTAATTCGTAATTATTTTCATTTAAAATCAACGTATAAACGAATTTTTATGAAAACTTCATAAAATTTCGAAAACTTTCAGATTTTATAATTTGATTATGAAATATTTTGTTCATTTTTTATAAAAAGTGAATAAAACTTAAAATGAATATCTTATTAAAATCAAAATTTATACTAAAATTGAAAGTTATCACTAAATATGATAAAAAGTTTTTTCAAAAATATATTTTCCATATATTTGAGTTGAATTTGTACATTTTATAAATAAAATTGACTACAAATTTCAATGAGAATTAATCTAATTATGATTTAATAAAAATTTTTTGATTAACTCTACTTAGTATTGCGTATTCAAGTTTAAGTAAAAAATTTTTAATATTGCCATACGTAAATACTCTTAACTAACCGAATAAAAGTATTATATATATAAAAATAAGTAATTTCGGTTTCATACAATTTTTTTATTTAATCTAAATTATTTTTCTGTACTAAAAATGACTGTATCATACCACAAAATTTCAAACAAATTCTTAACTTCTGTTATTACAATAATTAGTGCATGATTTATTTATAGTTTATTCAATGGAAGCGAAATTTCTTTGCACTTAAACATGATAATCAAGAGATAAACCTTTAAATTACATAATGTAATTTTATGATTTGGATATATATTTGAAGTCTCATCAAAATAATTATAAATTGATAATAAAACAACATATGATTTAATACATACAAAAAATGTAATGAAAAATTATCAATGTGCTTTATTTTGTGTCTAATATCATCTAAATTATATTTCAAATAAGAATATTAAATCAAAGAATTGTTGCCTCAATCGATAAATATTGTATTTATTACTCCGTATTTTCTCTTTATGTAGATTATTAATGCCTAATCAACCTAATTACACTCGATAATAATACAATTCATTAATAATTTTATAATATTTAATCAGTTAAACTAAAATTAGATTTTTTTTAAAAAAAAACTTACGCAATCAGTCAAAAAATATAAGTTTCCTTTAACAACTTTACGTATATACTATTTTAACAATTTCCTTTAAACTGAATAATAATGTAAATAATTATTATTGAAGTATCATGAATTTTATAACACATTTAATTATTTAAAAAACTATTTAAATTATAAAATATTTAAAGTTTTATAATTTTATTTTAAGCACAAAAATTATATGTATATATAAAATAAAATGATGAATTTCTTTTAAATATACTTTTATAAATAAATACTTCTACAAATAAACCGCATGATCGTCATTCATGGTAAAAAATTTGCTAATATTTTCGCAAATGATAAGATTGAAAAATGAATTTCGTATAATTGTATAAAAATTGTTGAAACAATCTTTCATTATTTAAAAATATATTGTAAATTAAAGAATACACATTAGAATAAAGAAAAGATAGATTTCATTAACTCACCAAATCATCAAATTTGTGACATTAAATAAATTTAATGCATTTTAATATTTTATATATTTTTTTCATTGGTAATTTAACAAACATGTTTATTTATATTAATGTACTTATGTTACTAACATATAAAAGAAAATGTTAAATCATAAGTACATTGCTATTTTCAATACAAGTGAACGCCAATTTATTTGATAAACTACACAAAATGTGTATTTATAAGATAATTATAAGATATATAATATTATATTCCAGGCTAAGTGTTTATTTTGCATCGTTAGCTGGAAAAACGCAAAAAGACAGAATCTTTTCGCACAGTCTCTCTGATTACGCACTTGTTTTCAGTTCGATAGCTTTAAAACGACTGAAATTACTGAACTTCCTATACGAGGAAAGCCACAACTAAACTGGACCTGCGTAAAATAATATTATTAAGCTTTTCAAGGATTGTCACATTACTGAACTATAACATCTTTTGTAGCAATCATGAAATATTTTATAAATTAGCTATTGTTTATTATTTAACGATTGAAATATGAATTTAGTTGGAAAAGTGAAAATTATGCCCACTGTCAAATCATTTAGTTGTTTTTAAAATGTTTTACTTGTTAATTAACATTAATGTACAAGAAAAACATCATTTATTCCTTCGTTTTCATAATTAAGCCATTAAATCTTATTGAAATTGATATTGCATTCATAAATTACTACAAATTATTCATTTAATATTAAAATACTCATAAAATTAAAATAGTAAAATTATATCATCTGTGTTATGTTAAAGTTTGTTTTTGTAATTTATTTTTATATAGATATAACATGATCGTACGAGCATCTGCTAACATGACGTAAGATTTTCTAATACTCATAGTATATAACGATTGAAAGTATCTTCTGTTTATCTTACCAATAACGATTTTTAATACCCTGCGTAAATAAACATTTATTTTATAAATGAACTTCAAATCTATTCTACACATTTACACACGCGCGCGCGCGCGCGTATATATATGTATATTAATTTTTATTAATATTTATATTAATAATTAATTTATATATAAATTAATTCTGAAAATATTAAAAACTGTGCTATCTACTCTACCCTATATATTATTTATCTAATTTACATATTGTAAACCTATTTTATCTACATGATTCTGAAAATATGGTAAACTACGTTGAAATTTCTAGAATTTCGTAATAAAGAAATTAACCATTTTTATATAATTTATTAATTGTAAGCCATTTCCAACTATCATATTTTTTATTTATGAATAGTATTTTCATAATTATTTAAATAAAAAATCATGATAATATTATTAACTAATTAGATTAACACAAAATTTGTTATTTACATTACTTTAATCCTCTTATTTAAAGGAACATGATAAAGTTTCTTTTATTGATATTAAACAGACAGTTCGTGACAAAATTGACTGAAAAATATATACCCTATTATTTAATGCAGCTATAATATTACGTATACAAAGTACGAATAGATAATCAAAGAATATATTGGAAATTTTGTATCCGAGTCTCCGTATGCGAGTATTTTAAATTTGACCTTCAACGAACATTTATGAAATAACGACAATGAGAGCTCTAAATCATAACCTAAAATACCGCGAAGACAGTTTTAAAAATAAAAATAGATCGGGTGCCGTGCTTTGGTGCTCATAACGAGTGAAAATGAAAAAAAAACATAAAAAACTGGAAGGCCATACATGTTTGAAAAAAGTAAACGGAATATGAAAAGCCAACAAATATTAGCAGACGATCGATGCTTCTTATCTTTCTTGCGCGGCTAAATCGTGTTCCGCGGTTTTTTTAGCTGTCGACGTCCAAACGACGAAAACGCAAAATCTACAGTACGAAATCGATAAAAAAATACCTGCGGTAGCCATTGAATGTTAAATTCAAGAGAAAATCGGCTTCCCGGTTTTCTTCCTTGCGCGGTCACATCAACATTGTTGCAAACTATAACTAATAATCTACTTTGATATACTGAAACTTAAAGTGTGAGTCGCGGCAAGAAATGCACTCAAGGCCTCGTTCACAACTACTTATTGTGAGCGTGCGCACAGAGTTTTATGGCTGCTTGGCATCTCAACGGTTATTGAGTTTGTCCCGTCTTTGGAAGAACAGCGCATAATAGATTCTCCAAATAGTCCATCAATCGGCCATCTTGAAGCTGAAGAGCGAGTGTTATAAAACAAGAACATTGTAATGTAGGCTTAACCTAAAGAGGATTTAATACAAATTATGTACGACGATCAGGATCAGTCGTAATCCCATTATTAAAATGTATGCTTGCACATAAATTACATTCTGGATATCTACATAAAATAAAATTCTGGAAATTATTTTAAAGTTCTTTTATACAGTGTTTAATTGTCAATTCAATTGCTTAATTGCACGGTCGGTCTATTAATAGCTGCATAAAATGATTCGTACATATAGTGTCGGAATTGAAATTTTTTAGCTCAAGGTTTTTCTTGTAATTACAATTTGTATAATTTAAAAAATACCGTAGTTTTGTTTGTCCATTACAAGTGTCACGATGATATACTTTATTAGCAAAGTTATAATGCTCAGACTAACAAAATAACCAACGCAGGATAAACGAGAGCTGAATACTCTTTTATTCTTTTTCTTTTTTTTTGTAAAGAGTATTTGGTAGCTGAGTTATTATAAAAAAAATCCAAACTAAGTCTTACTGTTTTTTTTAAGTGCGCGAGAGTTTCTTAGTATTAAACAAAAAAGCGTTTTCATCTCATTTTTCGTTGAAAAATTAAAAAATTTATATATGCATAGGTTCTAGGTATTGAAAGTAAAACCAGTAAAACAGTAAAACCAAATAATCGTCGATACATTTTTATATTTTGTAGTTACATATGTTTTGAATTAGAGAGAATAGTTTGTCAATTTGCTCTTTATAAGTAATAGAAGGTGATGTCAATCAGGAAAACAGTTTCGATTCAATTTTTCTTTAAAATTATTTTACATTCCGAACGGCTATTTAATGCATCCAAACAATTCTTACGAATGCGGAAGTACCGGCTCGGGTTACTCAGTTATTCTCCGGACTTCCGACCATTAATTTCAATATGATAATGTATATCATCAAAATTAAGTTGAAAACACATTCATTTATGTATGACAAAAAACGTTAATACTCTTACAAAAACATTATAAAAAAAAAATGCTAACAATCTCTTTCTTATTAACAATAAAGAGGATTTTATGAGAAATCAAACCCATGGCCCCATGACCCGAAAATACCGACCATCATCAATATTACTCATTGTAGAAAAACCAGAGAGCCATTATAAACATCTCAAATTTACTATTCTTTATATAAATGCGTTGGTGAATTAAGTGGAAAAGATACATCAATATCCTAATAACCAAGATAAAAATTCAACTAGTGCGTTACGGCATAGATCTATGATTGCCAATGAGGCCCGTTACTTCAAATTATTCGATCATGCCATTAATGCGCAGAATCGTGCATTCGACAGGCGACGGCTCGAATGCTGCTTTGATCTGACAAACAGCGCCGTTATTAGTCAATAGTACACAGACGTTGAGGTGAGAATAGTGTCAGACTTCGATTGCGCATCTGGTAGAGTAACAATGAGTGACGGCGTGGTCGGAGATTTACAGGATTTGACGTTGAAGAAAGAAAAGGCACGATAAAAAACGAAAAGTTTAAGGACGCAAGTCCAATAGAGTTAGTAAAACGCGACACTGCGAAAGCAAGGGGAGAGAAAATGCGAAATGATGCTGACTAGTATGGTCTGTCGGCATTATATTAAGCTCGCGACTAAGCTTGGAACCCGGTGGAAATCACTGCGCGCACTGGTTGGTCTACGAACATTAATGAGAGGAGCATAAAATCCGTCTAACCTTTTTAAATTGCGTAAATACGTGTGGGTTTATGAGTGATATGCATAACCTCGACCATTCATTGCAACCGGCGCGAGACTATCCATGAGTTACAAAAATTTTCTACGTATCTTTTCGCAGTATTTTTGTAGCACGTGCAGTTTTGCTTTGAATCTTATTACGATGTAATGGTATCGTGGCGACAGGCGGGGGAGATGAGGGATTAAGCTTATATTACAACGAATCGCGTAGATGAATACATAAGCTTATTCGATTTTTTCGTGTTGAAATTGCTATCCATTTCTTTTTTCCGAGAGAAAAACCAACATTTCCCCTTAATTCATGTTACTTGAAATACACTGGTTAAGGATATATTAAAAGTCATTTGACATAGATATTTAATTTCCAATAATTATTTGCTTTATTGCCTATAATAATGACTATCCAATATTGTTAATTATTTGATAAGTATTAAAGTTACATATGGCTGTAGTAAAACTGAAATTGTTCAAATAAATTGAAAAAAAAAATTGATTATGTTGGATCCACTTAACCAAGATAACTGTAATTTAAGAATTTAATCTAAATAAAAATAACATTGATAATGAAACATAACATTGCCATAAAATTATCATAAAAAATAGATCTTTTTAATATGACTAGAATTATTTATAAAATCTTAAGTAAATATATGTAATTTTAGGTAAAAATGAAAGAAAAAGTTGCTCAACCAGAAAGATTTGCTGTTAAAGAACTGAATCCATGGCCATCATATATTCAAGTATAAGAAAATTATATTAGCTTTATTGATATTAATAATAATCAAACATAAATATAATATTGCTATAAAAATTTACACAGGATAGAATATTACTGTTTGATAAACTAAAAGCCGAATATGATGCAAATTTATTAGTAAAACCATCAAATGAGATAACAGTAACGTTACCAGATGGAAAAACTGTGTCAGCTCAGTCTTGGCGTACTACACCGTATGAAATAGCCAGAGGTATTAGCCAAGGATTGGCTGACAACACAGTTATTGCAAAAGTAAATAATGAACTATGGGATCTGGATAGGCCATTAGAAACAGATTGTAAACTTCAGTTATTAAAATTTGATAATCCAGATGCACAGGCTGTTTTTTGGCACTCCAGTGCTCATATTCTTGGTGAAGCTATGGAAAGAATTTATGGAGGTTGTCTTTGTTATGGGCCACCTATAGAAAATGGATTTTATTATGACATGTTTTTGGGAGATAAGGGAATTTCAAACGAGGACTTTCCATACTTGGAGGGTCTATTTAAAAATATTGTGAAAGAAAAGCAGAACTTTGAGAGGCTTGAAATGAAAAAAGAGGATCTATTAGAGATGTTCAAATATAACGAGTTCAAAGTTAGAATTTTAAATAAGAAAATTCAAACTCCAACTACTACTGTGTACAGGTATATAAATACACATATTTTCACTTTAAACTATTGCAGTTTATTAAATGAATTCAAAACTATATATACAAATATTAACAGAAATTAAAAATCTTTATAATAGTACAACGATTTATTTATATTTTGTTTTATTATTGCATCAAATTATTCTACTTATAATAAAATTAACAGGAATAATGATGTAACTGGCTCTTTGATCCACATAATATCAAACACCAGTGATTTTAAATACCAAATTTTTATACTACTTTTCCAACCATGTGTACTAACTCTAATGAAAATTTACATTAATGATCGATCTATCATAACATTTTAGATGCGGCCCACTTATCGACCTGTGTCGAGGTCCACATGTACGCCACACAGGGAACATTAAAGCTGCTAGGATCACCAAGAGCTCGTGTGCATATTGGGAGGGTAATGCAAACGCAGAAACACTCCAGCGCGTTTATGGGGTGAGCTTCCCAGATCAAAAGCAGCTGAAAGAATGGGAGAGCTTCCAAGAGGAGGCAGCTAAACGCGACCATCGCAAGCTCGGACGTGAGCAACAACTTTTCTTCTTCCATGATCTGTCGCCAGGTTCGTGTTTTTTTCAATATCATGGTACCCACATCTACAACACACTCGTGAAGTTTATTCGTGAAGAATACAGGAAAAGAGGATTTCAGGTTTGTCAAGGCACGTTTATTATATTGTAATGTATGTAACTTACATGAGTAACAAGTAGAAAGTTTTATAATAACTGTAGAAAATACTAGACAAAATACTGAATAGATATATTGAAAAAATTTGATTTATAGGAAGTTGTTACCCCCAATGTTTATAATGTTCAATTATGGCAAACATCAGGCCATTGGCAACATTATGCAGAGAATATGTTTTCTTTCGATGTAGAAAAAGAAAAGTTTGCATTAAAACCAATGAATTGTCCTGGGCACTGCTTAATCTTTGGTGCTCGTAGTAGGTGAGTTATTAATTAAGATAAACACATTTTTTAATCCCCTATTTTGAAGTTACAATGAATGTTGAAAATTTTCAATGTTAATATCTAATTCACACAACAACAAAATTTATTTTTATTTTAATATTTTAATTTATAACGTTTGAATGTTACTACTCCCTGTATTGACATTTCTCACCAAAGGTGTGTGACAACAAATTGGTTTGATGCTTATCCAACGCAATGTTTCTCTATAAACATGCAATTAAAGATTTATGAATACTTGTAATCTAATGCAAACTGAAGTATTTCATTTTAATAAGACATACCACGCTAATACAAGGCTAGAAATATTTTTTGATACCTGAATCAATATTATTATTTAAACTGTACAGGGTTCTATAATTATTTTATTTCTTATGTCTCATTAAAGTTTTTATTAATATGAATTTTAATTAGCCATGCTGATAGTAATTTAAATTCAGTGCATTCATTTATTAATGAAATATATTGAATATATATTGAGAGGCAATTTACAAAATTCAAAATACAAAATAAATATGGATTAATAACATCAGACTTGATTAAAAGTTTTACAAGAATTTTACTTTCATATGTTGCACTATTATTAAATGCAAATATATGGCATACAATATTACTTAAACGGTAATAACTTTAATAATTTATACTAACCTTTTGTAAGATCTTAAAAACTAAACAGTATTTAAAATATATTATATTCAATATTCAGTTCAATTTTATTGTCAAACTTCTAGATCAAATACTGAAGTTACACCTTTTTTCATGATTTTACTATTTCTGTCTTTCTACTATTATTTACCACACATACACTTCATTGAAATTTATTTGTCTATCGGATTATAAGTATTCATGAATTTTTAGTTCCATATGTATTTAGAAGCACTGTGTTGGATAAACATACACTAACTCATTGTCACAAATCTTTAATAAAAAATGGATATACAAGCGCAGTGCATGAATGCACAAAACTTATGCCGTTATTTATTACAGTATTAGAAAATATAAAAAATAAAGATGATGAACAGTTTTTCTAAATACTGCTTTAAATTTAATCTGTCATACAATATTGTATCTATAATAATAATATAAAGATAAGTAGCGCAAAGGTGAATTAATGAATTTTAAGCTTTTTCAATCCTTTTAAAACTTTCCGTTGCAGCTGTCAGTTATAGTACTCTAAGAAATATGATCTAATAGTAAATAAATTAACTGATCTTAAATGCCAAAAGTACTTATTAACATCGATCGTAGGTCGTGGCGTGAGCTTCCGCTACGAATGGCTGATTTCGGGGTCCTCCATCGTAACGAGCTGTCGGGAGCTTTGTCGGGTCTCACACGCGTATATTTTTTGCACGTCCGAGCAAATAAAGAATGAAATGCTGGGTGCTCTGAATTTCCTTAACCACGTCTACTCGGTATTCGGCTTCACCTTTAATCTCTGCCTGTCAACGCGACCAGAAAAGTTTATGGGCGAGACTACCAGCTGGGACGCCGCAGAGAAAGCCCTTTCCGAGAGTCTTGACACTTTCGGCCAGCCTTGGACCCTCAATCCTGGTGACGGTGCCTTCTACGGTCCCAAAATCGACATAACCATTATGGATGCGCTCAAGAGGCCTCACCAATGCGCCACAATTCAGCTGGATTTTCAGCTGCCAATTAGATTCAATCTATCTTACGTCAAGTACGTATTATATTTTTCACCATCATCGATCCAAGTTTCGTTTTTCACTTTTACATGTAAAATTTTCCATCCATTATTTGCTCGAATTCGCTTTATTTACTTTTACAAAAATAAGAAGTGAAAAATGTTGTTGAAAATGTTATTCAAGTAGTTTGATACGACAACACAAGGATAAAAATGGGTCACTCAAATAAACGTTGTCTATTCCATGTAAAATAAATGGATGAAAATTGAGGGTTAACGCGGAAAACAATGAATTTATGTTATTGATTTTTGATAGTGAGGCAGGTGAGAAAACACGTCCAGTGATAATCCACCGGGCGATCCTTGGATCAGTCGAGCGTATGATCGCCATACTTTTAGAATCTTATGCCGGAAAATGGCCGTTTTGGTTGTCACCGAGGCAGGCGATAGTGATACCCGTAGGTCCGTCCGTTGATGATTATGCCCTGGAAGTGCGCGATCGGATATTCAAGTGTGGCTTTATGACCGAGGTCAACGTGGATCACAGCGTTACACTCAATAAGAAGATCCGCAATGCCCAATTGGATCAATTCAACTATATCCTCGGTAATGGGAAGCGCCCTTTTATTTTATTTAAAACAAAATATATAATAGCCAAGATAGTATTTATTAATAACTTTTAGAAATCAATTGAAAATTAGTTGTAATTATAAAAGTTGTCAGTCCCTTTAATTGCCTATACATTATTTTTCCTAATCTTATTCAAGCAGATTTAAGTGCAATGAAAAAATAGATTTATGATTTAACATGGTAATATTCTATTTATCTTATTGCAGTTGTCGGTGAAAAGGAAAAGAGTAGTAGTACTGTCAATGTGAGGACTAGAGACAACAAAGTGCATGGACAAATCGAAATTGACGAATTGATGAAAAAATTTGAAAACTTAATAGAGACGAAAGTTCGCAGTTGCGATGAGAATTTCTAAAGACATATTGTTTCATGCATCAATACATCATTATATAGATTGTATCACACGTCACTATATTTGACATCCGCAAATAAGATATTTTTTATCAAATTTAAAATAAAGTTTATTGAAGTATTTGGGTTTTATAATTTTCTAAGTACAAAACAATAATAAAAACAATATTATTTATTTTTAATAAGTAATATAATCGAAATGTTTAAAATCGATAAAAAATTATTATTGTTGGTATCATTATCATTCCTAATGTAATAATGTTAAGTCTTTACCAAAAATATACAAATTTAATTTAAATATTTTTAAAATACATGCATTAATGGGTTTGTAAATAAATAATTTTAATCGTAATTGACAAAACTGAGTATGTATGGTATATTTAATATGTTTATTTTTACAGATCCGAACGTGATAATCATTACAAATTATAATTTAGACAGAAATAACTTTTGATATCTTCATATTACAACTAAAAGAAGACGAATTCAATAATATAGTTTACTTCATATCCTGATACTACATTACATTGATATCAACATTTGTAATCTTTACAATAATTTACATATTCCATAATTTAACACATCTTTAAAATATCTCACAAATCGTACAAAGCTCTACTGTAGAGAATTGACTTAAAAAACAGTTTATTGCTCTTCTTGTTTGAATTAATATTTCATGTATTTGCAAAAATTCAAAGTATTTATTTGACACCGAAATTTTATCCGTCGATTTTATTATTTGCATATATATTTCATAGATGTTTCGTCACAACAAAAAAAAACGAAGAAACACTTGCCATTCAAATACATAAAACGTTCTTCAATATAAAAAATTATGTTTTTTCAAAACTAATAAAGTTATATGAAATTAATTTTAAATTAATAACATCATATCACCAGTAATTGCTTCTATAAATCATGATTGTACAAATTGTTTCTAGAAATCATGATTGTATAAATTGTTTCTAGAAATCATGATCTTTAAAGAATATAAAGAATGACAGAAAGAAAAGCCTCTGTATGATTTTCTAATATTACATAACAAATACACTCCTATGAAAGAACCCTTTAATTATTTATAAAGACTTGGAATTGGACATGATTAATTTTTAATCAACTTTAAAATTATTCGATAGTTTTTTACGTATTAACTTTTAAGCACACCTATAATTAAGGATACATACAACTTGGTCTACAATGAAATTTTTTTACTTTAATGAAAAACAAATATTTTTTATTAATTTAGGTCATATGAGAATATCATTATTTAAATTTAAAAAAGGTATTTTTCAGTTACATATATTGTAAACTTTAAATAAATTATGATAAATAATTAAGAAATGTGAGAATTTTCTAAATTTAAATTATTAAGGATAACGTTTTATTTAATTTTATTTAATTGTTATAAATATTAAATATCGTAGTTTTTATCCATGAAATTTCTGTTATTTAATAAGTTAACAAAATTTGAAAGCATTCTTTCTTCGTATAATTTACCTCTTCTTGCTTTATCATTTATTATAATTCAAATATTTTTATTTTAAAAAAATAAAAAAGTTAAAATAAAAAATAATTTTCAATACTTCTATAAAAACTCTTGAAAAGAATATTTCTTTTACATTTACGTCTGTAAATAGTATAAAGTTTATGTAATATTTATTCACGCCAATATTAAAATTTCTTATTGTATACCTTATTAAAATTATTTAAAATGTAATAAAAGATTCATTTTTGTAAATAATTCAATGATACGTTATTGAAATATTAGAAAAATGTATTAAATGTATTAAACATAGTAATTAAAGAATTAATCAGACTACATGTACAGCAATAAGAATTATCACATTTTTGCTGCTTTTATAATAATTTATTAATTGTAACATTGTAGAAAACAATGCAATAACATAAATTATATCGAATTAAGTCATTAAAGACTTTGTATTGTATACAGGATTCAACAAATCGTTATGCAAAATTTATATATTCCATTAATTTAGAATGGCTTGACTAATTCATATGCTAAGTAAAAAAAATACTATTTTATAACATTTTTCAAATACAAAAATTATTATTATATAGTAAAATTATTAATGATTGAAACACAGAAATATATCCATTAAAATAAATGCAAAAACCATGTCAAATCATTATTAAATATAATAATCTAAAATTATGTATAATTATTATAATTACAAAAATATTTGACATTAGAAAATATCTTCCTTATTTGTATAACGATTATTTCAAATACTCTACTGTATTTAATAATATAAATGAAAAAATTTATAATTAATACTATTTTAGTGGTCACTTTTATATTTTCATTTTTTTTTTTCATTTAATTCACATGAATTACTTATAAATAATTTGTAATATTCCAACTGAAAAACTTTTTTTATGAAACTAGAAAAGAATTTCTTAAACAAGATTATATTACAGCAATTTCTTAGAAAACATATCAAAGTATTAAAAAAAGACCTTCATATTTCTTTATAGCATTTGTTTGCAAATCTAAAATACTTCAATAGCTAAATTTATAAGTTTGGGTTCAGTAAATTATCCTGTTGTTTTTGTTAAATTTATATATTAAAATCTTTAAAGTAAATATACTTTTATAATTTTTAACATTTTAGCACTTGTCAAAAGATATTAATTTCCCCACACAAACTGGTAACTGTTGCCTTTAGTATTTTAATTAAATAGAAAACGTTTAATTATTCGGGCTTAACACTTTTTCCAAATATTAATAATAATAGCCTTCCGTTAGAAGAACTAAATATTCTTGTCCAAATTCTCAGTCTTGTGTAATTTTAGAAGTACTATACCACAATAATTTTATTTGAGACATTAATTTTATAGTTAAAAGATATGTAATCATTTTCTTTAAAAATTGAAATAGAATTAACTTATTTTTCTGAAATAAAAGATAATTAGAATAATTTTTTCATTTTATAAAAGTTATAATTTCTAAACTAATATTTTAGGTCTCATTATTTCGCTCTATAATGACATGACAGGTAATTCAAATAAGCGAAAATAAAATCATTCGCATATAATTTTTAAGTAATTTGAAATATTAATCGTGATTAATAATTGTAAGTCAATAATAATAGAATAATTTTTGTTATTGCCGTTTAAGCTAATTCTTAAAAAAATCTGGTAAGTCATCGCATAATTATTTAGGCATACATACAAATGTTATAGTTTATCATAACTATTCTTTTTGTATTTTAAACAGTTAAGTGAAATATTATTTGAATTATTATAATACTTTGTCCATTCAGAACGAACAAATGTATTTTTTAAATATATTGTAACTTTTTATTTAGAATTTTTTATATAGCTAAGGCTTATATTTTTGTTATTGATTCAGAAATGTTTCCAGAAAAAGTGCAATTTTCTTTTCATATATGTTGGAGAAACAAAGAGATGCTTTATTGACCTATTAAAAAAAAGAGTTACCTTTACTACAGCCCATATTTTTTTAATTTCAAGTTGCGAAAAATTTGCATTACAATTAATTGTAAATATTAAACTTGCTTAAAATTCAACTTTTTTTTTAAAGCACAACTATATGTACAAAATGCTGCAAACAGTTTAAATTTAAGATTGCGCCCTCTTCCATTGCTTTTATTATTACAAATATTTTCATCATCAAAGATAGTTCATCAAAATTATTTCTTCTTAATCAAGTTATAAAATATCATCAAGCTTTTACATCTATGTTTTGGCATAGATTTGTACAATATTTTTATCACTTATAAGCTAATTGTATTTTAAAAGCTGTAGAAACTTGGCTAAAGTGCTTCAGTACACTTCATTTAGAATATTAAATGTATAAGTGAAAAACAACATATTTCTCATAAGATTTATTTTAGTAAAATTTCACTACTTTCATTATTATTTTTTTGCAAATTAACAATTATTGTAAAATCTTTTTAGAAACAAATTAAACTAATAAACAGTATTTATTTTAAAAAAGTTACCAGATATTTTATTAATGATGATTATGTTTTTTAACATTCAATTGGTTATGATTTTTACAGCTATTTCATATTATGTTATTAATTTATTATTTACAAACTTTTAAAACAATTTATCTTTTAACGTGCTACATTAAACAATACATTAAATTGACGAATGAAAAGATAATACAAAGCGACTATTACTTATAGCTACTTATAAAATTAATGTAATTAACTTTTGTTTAATCATCTCTTTTTCGTTAATTTTACAAATAAAAGGTTCAGTGCATAAATATCTAGTACCAAAATATTTTCAAAGCTAATAAACTTACTTGATGAACATTATTATTTAATTCATCGTATTGTTTACAACTTCATGCTTTGGAAGACTGTACATTACTATACATGAATTATTAATATTATGTTCTTTTCTCTCGAATACCTGTAAAGTATAATTAGTTTGAAAAATCGAATGCAAGTGACTCGATTAACAACGAGAAGATTTTCTTGATTTTTTTCGATTAACAATTTGTTCTTTTTATAATTCGCAGCATTAACTATATCTTCCTAAAAATTGTATTCGCAACATTTTGTAATTAAAATTTATATATAAAAATTTTTTTAAAGTAGACATAAATCTGTTTCATATATCAGTTTAATTCGCAGTCTTGGAAAAATAATTAAGAGATCATGTGATAATAGGATAAAATAACATGCATTTTGCTAGATCCGTCATTAGTTTATACATTCATTTACACAATCTTGTCTTTCACTACGCACAATGCCATATCATTAATTGTAAAAACAAATACTTAATTCATTGGGTAATATGCATATATTAGGGTGACTGATGGTAGTTATGTAATTAAAAAACATAACATCCTTATTAATTTAATATTTAAATTTAAAAAGGTTTCATTTAATAGTTAATTTAAAGATCACACATATGTATCATAAAAATAATATAAAGATATAATTTATATATATATTCTCTTTGATGAGAATATAAAAATTGGAAATTTTCATAGCTCAGAAATAAAAAAGTAAACCGACTGAAATATATTTTGTATCAAATATTTACAAAATGGTAGTGTAAAATATAATACGCAATTAATAAAAATATTAAGTATTCAAATAAAATAAAATTAATTATAAAAAAAAAAAAATCATTGTACATAATAATAGTCACGTAAAAACCATAATCGGTAAGTCACTAGAATGGTCGCATTTGCGACTGAGTATTAATATGCAAATAAGACATAGGAGGCGATTTTCTTATAAATCTACTTATAATATAAAGTCATAGGTATACATATTACACGAATAACTATTTTCCCCATATGGTCACAATTGCTTATATTTCAAATTTGTTCTCGTTGTCTTGAACAACAACGATAATATCGTTCAACACCCATCGAAGATATCGTTGGGATCCCGACTAGAAGCAACGACTTTTTTTTACGTTAGCTGACTTGAAAAATCCGTTGCACGCTTCGTTCTATTTAAAATTTCGTCATTCTACGTACACGATTCAACACTCTGAGTATTTTTTTCTAGTCAATATGAATATTATTTTATAATTTTGTTATACTTTAATCGTTTCCTTATTAATAATTTTACCACCTATATCGTCATTATTTATTTCAGCATTTGTTGGTCTAATTTTATTATTCGCCTTCGTGGAAGTCAATAAAAATCTAATACTTTAAAATTCGATAATTAATTCGGTTCTAAAGTATAAACGTATTGCTATCATAATAAAAATTTGCGCTTTTATCTACTGTGATGATAATAACATATTATCATGACACTAAATGAAAACGAAATTTTTTTGGACTAACAGATAATAAAATTAATAATGAAGAAACAATGAGTTAATAGCTTATAAAACTTATTCTTGATTTTAATGTTAACTCTCGAGATAAATAAACGTTTGCAGCATTTATTCAAATTTTAAAATTATGCACTCTGTTATATTTGTAAAAAGTTTTATACTAAAAAGGACAGAAACTAACAGAGTCATCAAGTAAATCATTTGCTTCTTTACTCTTGTAGAAATCTTATCAATGCTTATATGTGTTTTCATATACTATTTAAATAAGAGGTAAAGGTAGATTATAAATGTAGTATAAATACTCATGACATGTTAATCCAACGGTGCTTTCTCAGATTTTGATATAAATATTAATTTCCTTCTATAACTAGAATAGCGTTAAAATATTTGTTCAAATAGGATAATTTATCTTTTCAATGTCATACCATTTAACATTTATTTGAATACTTAAGAGTCTATCAAAATCATGTAGGAACCAATATTAAATCTTGAAGGAGTAGCTATTATTATTATTATTATTATTATTATTATTATTATTATTATTATTATTATTATTTTGATACTCAACGCCGATTATTCGTCCCTTTTTATAAATTTTTCTGCGCACTAAGCATTAAATTTATACAAAGAATTTCGACGCCCATAGTCAAGATTTATAAAAAAATTTAATTTTCTATCTATATCAGAATGCAAGACATAATATTCATAAATTTTACTTTTTTCAAATTTAATAATTTGAATATATATTTAAAATACTATGTATCACTGCCTCCTAAAATCATTGAGGATTTTATAAGTATTAAAAAATTTATGGATAATCATTTGTTTGATGAAGTCAGCGTGGCTTAATCTAGAACACAAAAATAACATAAAAAAATGTATAAAATGCACTAATTAAGTATTAAAATCATGAAATGTGAAATAAGTAGGTATAGAAATAATGGCGATACAACTTATAAATATTTATACAAAACTATGGAGTACTACAGATATCTGGAACTTATATAAATTATAAATATATAATCAAGTTCAAATAATAAGTAATAAAAATTATGAATCGTTCAGAATTAAAAGTAGCTATATATAAAATATAACAATAGTAGCGCATGTATTGTATCTTTAATTTCAATATTCTTACGAAAACGCAGTTATATACAAATGAAAGAAAAGTACTAATAATTAAACTCGTATTGAGAGTATTAAATAGTTGAGTTCCGGTACAAGCAACCACAAGACATTTTAAAATTTAAAGTTCAAGAAATTAAATAGCAACTAATCCACGTGCATATAGTTCACGTATTGTACACAAATTTACTGAAAGAACAAGAAAGATTTAGACTTATAACATAAGTAAGCATGCGTTTACTTCGTGTAGCCAATTAATTTTAATTACAAATACACAATATTGAATTAAAAAATAAACTTCCACGTAATAGGTCAATTTAAAATGTGCTAATCTCGGTATGCCATGCATCTACTAAGGTACCGTAACATCACAACTCCATTAGCTCCATACGTAGTAGGAATAGAGCTCTGACTCGTACCTCATCATCGTTCGTGGTACCTACGACTGTCGTCGATTGCTGCTGATTAGACAGCTGGACAGCTGAGATCTGTTTGATGAAATGTTTAGAATCCTGATGATGGTGGTGCTGCTGTTGTTCCGCTCGCCTAAGAAAGGCTGCGGCAACCTCCTTTTTGGGCGGCACTACGGGTTTGTTGGGTGGTACTGGTGGAGGTGCACCCCGTGCCGCCACTATCAAGGATGGCTGCGCCTGCACGACCTGTGATTTCTTTGCAGTCCCAGGAGTCGACGCTCCGGTCGCGGATCGCTTATGCAGCCCCTGCGGGAATGCAATAAAATCGCTGGGTCGTTTTGTTGATGTTTTTTTGTTTGTTTGTTTTTAATGTTTGATTAAGTAATGTGGCATCTTATATATAGAAATATTGAATTGAATTGTGTACACTGTGAAGAGACCGCATACCTCCTCACGAGCAGTACGTAGATTCTTTCGTTAGTTGCACAATTCAGCGGATACAAAAGGCAAGGAAATTAAAGAATAATTAAACAACTACTTCAGTGCAGTATTTTTAGAGTCTTTAAAGAATCCAACGAAGAAACTCCAGTTCGGCGAAGAAAATTAGTGTCATTACGCGTTAAAACAAACGCAATATAATAAATAAGAATTCCGATAAATATATATATATATATATATATATATATTTATCTAACGTGTTCATTGATTGGCTTTTAGGTTCATTAATAAACAATTAATTGCTTATTAATTAAAGTAGATATTTCGCTAGAACTAACTTATGATGTTTTGAATAAGGAAAGTTGCTGGGTAAAGAATGTAAATAAGTCTTAAGTAAATTGTATTATTTCATTTTAATAAAGGAAATCAATATACATTTTAAATCAACAATATAATAATAATAATAATAATAATAATAATAATAATAATAATTGTATACATGAGGTAAAACAATATAATAAAACGTGCTATTGTCTAAAAAAAAAAAGAAATAATTATCTATTCGTATGCTAAGATTTAATATTCGGTGCGTAGCGTCCGATTACAACAATAAATTTGCAAAACTTATTACTGTCATTTCTACAAAATAATAAACACTTTTAATATATAAAATTATTGGAAACGGTACATTATAAATGAACGAATACACGGCCAGGGAAAAGATGTATTTTTTTTGCAAAACAATAAAAAACAACAAAGAAATTAAGAATCGACTTGTAGCCGATTCGGTGTGAAGTTCATAGAAGAGTAACAAGTGCTTGACGAGACACAAAACGAGTCAAAAAGAGGTATTTATGCTCGAAACGTGAATTGTCATTAAAGAATATATTGAATTTTCCGTCCTGGACTATTAACTACAGTGAAAAATATATCTCAAGTCTAATATTTATAGTTTTCTGTAATTGTCAACTGAAAAACTTAACTTTTATTTAATAATTAAAGTTAGTTGACTTTCCAAGAAAATACGCTTTTTCATACATTAAAATATTCCACGTATATTGGTGTTGTTATGTTGTTATGTTGTATGGTGGTGTTATAGCTTTTTAGCTTTAGTTAAATTTAAACATATGAAAAAATTCTGTCGTAAGAAAATTTTTTAATAAAAGTACATTGAAAATGTATAAATACTTTTTTTAAAGCTGAAAATAATATTTAGAACTATTTATATTTAGAACAAAGAAAATTAAATTTACATGAATATATTTAAATAAAAATAATAAGTAATAACAAATTATTTAAATTTTAAATATCTAGAAGACTAGATATGTATCTAAAGTCGAATTTACTTTAAAAAAAAAGTAAATATTGCCGTGTAAGTAATTAATATTTTGATCTATTATTTAGCTTCTGTGATGTAATTAGAGTTTCACTATCTACGTTTAAAATTACTCAATGTACTTTAAAAAGGAAATATAGTACTTTTGATACTAAACTTACAATTTTTCAAATGGTACTTGAATTATTAATCATATATCAAGGGGTGCATACGTTCACTTTAAAGCAAACTTTTTTACTATTATGAGTATATAATTGACGTACTTTATCATATAAATATGATCTATATCTACTTAATATCAAATTAATCTGAGTAAAAATATACAGTAAAAACTGTATGTCGTACTAAACCATAAGGTTTATAATAGTGTTGAAATTTTTCTTGCAACACATTTTCATATTTTATATTTTGCTAAAATTACTAAAATCAATTGCTTTTATAAGCAGTATAATAAATTTATATAAATGTATCATATTTTTCAATTTCTTTGTATTCATCATAATGATTATGAATATAAGTAATTTGTATATTTATAAAGATATTGATAAGAAATGTAATTATAATATAACATATATATATATATAGTAAATATTTATATTTCAGAATTATATTTATCTATTTTAAACTTACTAAACTACTTTAAAACTTCGCTTATAAATAAATGAATATTATACATGCAATATGTGAAAATGTCAATATGTAAAACAATTAAAATTTTTTATTATTTAATGTAAGGAATTTCTTAATCGTAATATAATGTATTCTAGTGTTCCAAAATCATTGAATTTGTAATTTATACGGATACGATCAATAATCATAAATAATGTTTAATGAAGTTGCAAGGAAAAAATAGTAAAATTAGTAGTAACTAAAGGATTCGCTATAAACATTGATAACAGTAGATAAATATTTGTGTGTATATATATACTATATTCTAGTTTTATAGCAGCTACTTAGTTACTGCATACTGGACGCTTTATTTGTCTCGATCAAATAAATGTTCGCCGCCAAATAAAACTCGAATAAAAGTCACGTTCAATGGTGCTTGACAATGGTAAAAATCTATCGTTATTATCTAATTTGATGCTCGCCATAAAATTTTTCTTTAGGAAAATATTTTTTTCTTCCAATATTTTTGAATAAATTGTAATTATTAAGACAAATACACTTATGCCTTTGCCGTGAAAATTATAATACTCTATTTAATAAAAATATTACTATTAAAAAATTATTTTCCTTCTCATTCTAATCAAATTGCACAAATTGTTCAAAGAGACTATATGTGTTAACGTCATATTTGATCTCATAATAGCCTTTACCATGCAACAATGAGTTCCAATAGTAGGTTTATTTATAATATGTTGGCTTAAGCATTGAATATGATTGTAGCATAAGAAACAATTATATATTAATAGTACATTTTTTTTATATTAATGTATTTACTTTTATATTACTACTAATCATGTAATATATTAATTGTAATGTAACGTTAACTCCTTTTAAAAAAACATCCATTAAAATACTTTCGAAAATAAAAATACAAAGGTATATTATCTAAATTATAATATGCATGATACAGAGATTGCAAATTTAACATCGAAGTTTTAAAGATAAATATCTTTTATTTGCAGTGTACCTTTAAATTTATATTGCATAGATGGTGCTCTTTCGATCGATTGAATGTGTGAATATTAAAAATACTTTACATGTATTTATACGAAACATTTAAAATATTCTTCAGAAATAAATTTTTTCATCTTAAATATATTGGTATTTTATGTATACACATAAAGTATATTTTGTATACAACGCTGATACTCCAGTAGCACAGAATTCATTAGATTTACTTTATTAATAGCATTTTTTATCATTCTCTTTCAATTTCTCATATTTTATTAGTAGTTTTTAAAAAATAAATGTAGTAAAGCTTAATTGGAACTTAACTAAAAATCAAGAAACTGTATTTACAATTTATTTGAATAGTTTATTAAAATATAATAAAATAAAATGACACATTAATCATAAAAGATTATTACGCGTTTTTTTCGTTAAATAAACAGTCATTTAAACTTTGAAAATCTCGAGTTTCAATAAGTGATTAATATGCATTTAATGTATTAATACAAAGTTTTGTATATACATTTAAAACAAATATTTAAACAAATTAAATTACCAATTAAAGTTACAAATAAATAAACAAATAAAAATAATATTTAACGATATTTTTCTTAAAATAAAACGAAATATTAATTCCATTTGAAAAGTATATTATTCATTATTTATTAAAACGTTCAAAATATTCTATTAAACTTTAATATTGTAACTTACTAATTAACTTAATTAGATACTAATTACAATTTTAAGAATCGAGGTAATGTAAGAGAAAACGATAAAGTAAACAAAATCAATAATTATATTCGACATAGCTCTATATCTCAGTGATGCTTATATTAGCGTCGAATGGCTAGGATAATTAATATAGTTTACCTGTGCAGCGACGGTCTCTTGTGAAGGGGTAGTGGCAGCAGCAAATGCGGTCTCTTGCGTGGGGGCGGGGGCCATGGATTCGATAACAGGTGCTGTCGTGATGCCTTGTCCGTAGCCAACGCAATGACTCCGTAACACCTGACCCGGAGTTACAGATCGGGCAATACCAGTAGCTGAAACAAAAGAACGCCCTCGCCGTAAATGTCAAAGTCTCTACAATTGCTAGAAAGACTAGCGCAATAAGCATTGATTGTATAATATTCAATAGTACGGGAAATTAACTTACTTGGCCCGCTGACTGGTACACTAGAAACTGTAGCTGTTGGTTGTACAACTTTACTGCTGACCATTGGCGTACCAGCTCCTAAGGCTGCCCCTTTGACTGAAAAATACATATTTCACGATTGTATGTTAAAAATGAAATTTGAGAACAAATTTAATTCGCTTTATATTTACGTGATGGTAGAATTTACAAAATGTTATTAGTTTCAAATACGAAAATTAATTAACTCTTACATAAATATTCGAATAACGTGCTCGAAATTTTAATTGCCTTAATATATAAAGTACTAATATAGTTCCCAATAATCGTTAAAAAATTATAAAATGACACACCCGTGGAAGGCGTGGCTGCGGTCCTAAGATTCGGCATCGCCGCGAGATTCGCTGGTTTGGCCGGCGGTGGTGGAGGCGTGACCCCGAGAACTCTGACAGGACCACGGGTCGTTGTCTGCTGCTGCTGCTCCTTCAGAGCTTCAAGCTCGGCTCGGAGTTTATCGAGCTCACCCTGCTGCTCGGAGAGCTTTTTATCCTTATTAAATATAGTATTAAGGAAGTCCGATTTGCAGATCTCAAATTGTAACTGCTGCTCCTCGAGATCCGTCCCCATTAGAAATGGCTTCATCTCTTTTTTCAGGCCATCCGATATCGAGTCTGTACGAACCTGTGAATTTTTTGATTTTTTGTTTTGGGGAAGTTCAGCTTTGTATAGTTGTAATATCGCGAAATTTGTACTCACAGCTAAAGCTCACAATTCTTTAATGTAACGTATTCTATATAGACTGTACAATATTGAACAAATCGTCTATTTAATTTAAACAAGGCTAAAATTATTTGTAAAAATCTCGCACTTACTCTTTTATTATATGTAAATGTTATATCGTTTAAAAGTAAGATAATAATCAGTATTTGGTAAAAAATCGCTTTCAACTGTTGTTATATCAATAGTGAATTTATAGTGAACCTTTAAAGAGACAAAAATTAAGTAACAATTATTAAATAAAAATAAAACTAAGCATTATATATATGCAAACAATCATTTTATTTATATTTTCAAAAAATTACAATGTATTACAAAACTTGTCTCCGTTCATTGCATATTTAAATTTGTAATTTAGAAATATAATGCATAGGAGTACATATAGTGGCAATAATGATTGAATACATCATACTTCAATTCAAATTTAAACATCGACCAAGAAATAGATAATTATATGAACATATGAATTTTTTAAGTTTTTACATTCTATAAAATTGATTTTGTTTTGTATAATTATTCTTTCTATATTGATGTTATAAATTAATTCTACTTTTTTTAAATTCATAATTAAAAAGGATTTTTTTACTGCATAGAAGTTAATTAAAATCAAATAAAACGATAAAATCTTAATTTTCTATTAAATAGATTCTCATGCATTAAGCATAAAAGCATTAAAATTTTATTACCAATACTCAATAAGTATTTGTATAAAAAGAATTTATAAATTCCAATATATGTGTCAGTGATTAAAGAGTTGTATTTAATCAAAATATTAAATTTAATTGTTGAAAAAATTTTAATTATTTTGAATGACTGAAAAGCACATATATATTAGAATTACATATTCGATTATTGACTGATATTGACTAACCTTGATAATTAAATTAAAAAGATCTTAATATTATAAAATTAAAAAGAATAAACGACATTTAATCACTAAAAAATATGATTATGAAAACATTGATATAAATACAATTAAATAATTTGATTAAAGCAGATACAAGACAAAATAACTATCAGAATATTCTTTTCTTCTAACGACATAGCATTATAAATATTTTAATTTAATCATGAAAATTTAATAGTATTTCAAGTCACTTATAAGTTTTCTTAAACTTAAATCAGTGACATCTGTAATTTTTTACATATCAAATGCAGTTCTTTTAATAGTAGAGAAAGTGTCTCTTACGGGCTTCGCTGGGGGCGGTGGTGGTGGCGGTGTGACCCCGAGACCTCTAACGGCTCCACGACTTGGCTGTTGTTCCCTCATTACCTCCAGCTCGACCCTGACCTTCTCAAGTTCGCTCTGCTGTTCCGCCAATTTTTTATCCTTGCTATATATGGTGTTAAGGAAATCTGTCTTACAGATATCGAACTGTACCTGCTGCTCCTCCATTTCAGCTCCCATTAGTAAAGATTTCTTACTTTCCTCCTCGAGGCCCTTTGCCATTGACTCCGTTCGTACCTACAATTAAATTTTTTTATTTGCATAAATAATTGACAATTTTATGCAATAAAAAAACGAACTTTCCACGTATTAGTAAAAATCTGTTGGCTTTTATAAATCGATTCATAAATTTCATCTAAAATACAAAATCAATAAACTAAAGGTCAAGAAATAAAATGGGCAAATAATTTTTATCTGTATGATCACTTTTAGAATAAAGCTATTACTTTTTATTTAATATATTCCGTACAAATCTCTTTCTATTATATACAAGGCTTAATAATATTTAAATTTTGCATTATTATGAATTAATAAAACTAACCTTTTCTTCGCCGAGAATTTGTGATAGGTCCTCGGATCTTTTGCGCTCCTCAATGTATTTCATAATAATCTTCTTCCGTTCTGCTAAGAGTACAAGAACAATCTGTTTATGACGTTTTTTTTCATCATCCAGCAAGTCATTCATTTTTTTAATCTCATCTTCAAGATGCTGTTTTTCTTGTTTTTCTGCTTCTAGTTCTTTCTTCAATCTAATTCTCTCCTTCTCAAGGCCATACGTAATATCATCACCCTGAGCTGTATCATGGTCATGCTTTTGCATTTCTTCTTCAAGTTCATTAAGTACCTATTTATATATATTAAATTTCTTTATATCAAACAGTTAAATATAAATAATAGATCCTATATCGAAATTTGTATTGGAAATTATAACTATTTACTTTTAATAACACAAATATTTTATCAGTCATGAAGTCCATGAAACGATAATATGAATATTAAGAATATCATAAAATAAGATATTCAATAACATTTTTATAAAAAATACCATAATTTAATATTTAGCAAAAATTTAGATAATATATATTAATGCAATGTTTATTAAAACTATCTTACATGTATATGTGAGCATAAGATTCCTATATTAAAAATATTTATAAACAATAATAAAATATATTACATTTATTTAAAATTATCTTATTTAATATATTTTCCAATTTTATAACCATTCAATAATTATAAACAATCGACTAAATAAATAAAAATATCATGTGTACATAAAAGGTCAATTTTGATATGTAAGATACAGACCATTCTATGTCTAAGTTCAGCACTCTTTAAGATTTTGGCCATATGACTCAACATACGTCTTTGTCGAGTAACTAGCGCTTCAAGAGTTGCACCTAATTGATCTATTTGACTTAGCTGAGGACCTAGTGCTCCACCTACAAGGGCTGAATCTCTTGCTAGAGCTGAATGAGGATCAGTGGTTCCACTTCGATATCTTGAACTTAGAAAATGCTTCATTTTTTCAGACTGTAAATAAACAAGTCAATAGAAATACTTGATTAATAACATACGTATTTAAAAAATATAAAATATATCTTCAGATCCAACTGATTAAAAATAAACTTATGGATGCAAGAAAAAAATTAAAATAATTGCCTATAGGCACTTTTGTAATGTAACATGAGAAAGCAAATTCATATTTAAATTATAAAAAGACTTTTGTAATAATTACCTTTAAGGCTGCTATGACAACATCACGAGCCTGTAGTTCACCTTCTAAATAACCAAGTAGTTTTAGCAGATCTGTCTTACATAATTCCATTTTTGGATTACGCTGGAAAATGAAACGTAATTATACAATTCAATTATCTTACTGAAAGTCAGATTTAAAAATAAATATATATATGCTCATTATGATAAGAAATACTATAAAATATTATATAAATATTGCTTGTACTGCAATATAGAAATATTAAAGCTTATATTGAAATTTGACTATCTTAAAATTTTGAAGCAAGCAAATAAACTTTAAAATAAAGATCAAATTTTTTCTTGGCAGTTAGTAATAATAATATTCATATAAAAAATTATATTTATATTAGCTTCAATTTAAAAACTGATTTTAAAATAATAATATTGTTTAACATTCTATAATAAAATAAATACCTGTTATTTCTTAATAATATCAAAAAATATAATGTAGAAATTCATATAAATATCTTATTTAAAGTATAATATATAATAAGTAAATATAATAAATATAATATTATAAATAATACAAATTAATATATATAAACAACTCTAATATATAATTATTAAAATACTTAGAATTGCTTATAGACATGTATTATAAAGATAAAAAAAAATAATTAGATAAATAAAAAACTGAATAATATTGTATAAATAAATTCATAATAAAATATCATAATGACTATGAAAAAAATATAGTATAATAACAAATTAAAATAAACGTCAATATCAATGGTACTGATAAGCTACAATATCTCTTTTGTTTTCTATTTCTCTATTTATTTAAAAACTAAACTATTCGTTTTAATAAATTTACATTAAGCACGATATGAATCCATAATTCTTCTGTGATTGCTACCACACTCATACAAAACTTTAATCTACCTTTAATGTGTTTGACGAGCTCTTATCCAAAGGCTCAAAGTTATTGCTTTGCTGTTGCTGTTGCTGTTGGGGTTGAGGTGATACAGACATGGCATTTTTACTAGACGAAACTCCAGGAGGTCCATTAATGGTGTTACTCTGTCCCTGGGTAGCCATGTTCCCTGCTAAGGATGAGCTTAACAGAGCAGAATCCAGTATGGTGAATCTTTTGGTATCAATACACTGGTACTTTGAATTCCTAGCCCCAGTGACATAAGGTAAACCCAAGTACTTGCTGCAGCTGCACCTCTCGGGGAAGCTGAGCCGCACCTGCAACTACTCTCCTCGCTCTTCTCCACTGGCGTGGACTCGACGACATCCTTCTTCTTCACCTGGAGCTGATCTTTGTCCTATTCGCGGTGACTCTAAGCTGTTCTTCGGAACCAACCGCTACAATCCTCGTAGTATCTGCGTACTTTTATTTTTTCGTCAGATCGTAAAACGCGTCTGCGCCTCTAGTTGCGGAATTACGACGGAGGAGTAAAATAGCAGTCGCTCACGCACTCTTGATATGCGTGGGTGCGTTGCTCACGGAGATTGAAAGCGCACGTTCCGACTTGCTAAGGGAATTGGACGATATTTTTCTCTGTTCACTTTATCCCACACGCACACTTACGACTCATCAAGCACGAGCCGCAGCGGTTTTCTTTCTCTTCTGCTCCTCTGATTTCTCTAACTCACTAACTCATTCAATCTCTCGCTGGCTTGACCCTACCTTGAGAAATGCATTAACCTCTTCCGTCCTCCAATATTTTTTTTTTAATTATATTATACCTCCGTTCTCCTCCGAGCGCAAATCGTATTTGTCGCTCTTTTTCCAGTCGTCATTGCACAAGTATCAATGTTATTCTTAATTCGGGTCCCACTCCCTCCCTCTCTCTCGCTCACTCGCTCTCTCTCTCTCTTTCTCTCTCTTATACCTTCTTTGTCGCACGCTGCGCTTATGCGAGAAAACACAAAGATAATTCATGTATAAATTTGACAAAAAGCAATTGACGAATCATAGTACAGAAATTTTTTTTCAACACGAGTGCCAAACGTAGACCAAATCTTAGATGGTCGAAAGTACTGAACGCTGCCGGGCGCCGAGTATAAGACTACAGGTCACGTGACAATTTTTTAATACGACAGCGGGAAAATTGAAAATAAGCTAATATTGATCAATTGCTCAAAAATAAATCTCACAAGTTTCTTTAACACTCCATGGGAATGAAATAATATTTTTATTTAAATATTAAGTAAAATAAATATAATATTGTTTTGAAAATAATTTAAAAAATTAATTTTTCTTATAGAGTTTTTGTTCATATTTTGAATGAAATATTAATTTTTACAATACATTTAACATTTAATGAATAACATTATAATTAAATTACATTACTTTAATTTAATTATTTATAAATCCTCTCTCTCTCTCTCTCTCTCTCGCGCTTTCATCCTATAACAATAACAACAATGAGAATTGTCACCTTAAATTTGAATTCAATATAAATTTTTCGTAAAAATGTTAACGGATATTATAAATCTTTTATAAGTTAACGAAATAAGTCTTAATATATTCATCGTAACACATTCACATACAAAATAATCAGAAATGTCAAATAAATGCACTTCATATATTATTATAAAAATACTATAAATTCTAAAAATCTTTCTTTGTACTTGCTTGTGGAATTTTAAACATATTATAATGCATATATTTTGAAATGCATGTGTGTTATATATAAGTACGTATGTGCTTGTATAATTTAAATAAAGAATAATTTGTTTCCCAATTTCTTTATTTAACTATGTGCGTCGTTGTTTCTACCCCCACCAATTCATCTTACCGCTCCGCTTCTCATTTAGCTGATACTTCATTCATTCTCTTCCTCTATTCATGTATGTTGTATAGCGTTATAGCTATATAAACGTATAAATACATATATATATATATATATATATATATATATAGATAGATATATTTATTTATATATAGACATATATATTCATATATAGATATGCTCCACATACATATTTTTAACACTTCTTCAATAAATATACTGCAAGGTCATTTCAATAAGATGTTGTCCCTTCGAAGATTAACATTTTGTAAATTAACAATGATAAATTTGACCTTTATATTTAAGATAATTTATGATATTTATTACTTAAATCATAATATTGTTTACGAATCCATATAATTATTTTGTACAACTATAAAATCATTCTTTTAAGTGTATAGGTTTCTATAATAATAATTTAATATTTTCTTAATATATAATAAATAAATATAATTTCTTTTAGAGCTTTAAATTATGAAAGATGAAATGATCTTTAAAATATATCAAATTTTATTCTTTCATCGTTTCAATGATAAAAATACAAAATTTCCTCACGATTATATATGAATGTCTTATTAACTAATATTAGGCGTACTTTCAAACTACCTACAATTACGAAAATATATTTATAGTTATAATACTTTGTTAGCTAAATGCAAAATCTACATTTTATTTTTTTTTTACCGCGAAAACTGATAGTTCACACAAAAATTTGATATTTGAAAAAAATGTATTCATATTAAATTTCAATTGGCAGCATTTTATTATTATTTTTTCTTTTTTTACTTATCTAAGAATGTTAATATTCATAAATATATTTCTATAGTAAAGTTTAAGATTGGCCAAGTTACGACTATTAAAACAAAAAGATAAATTTATTTTATATTTCAAAGAGAGTCTCTATCAAACGAACCAATTTTCAACTTTTGTCTTATTCAAACACTTTTCCTACTTCCCACTATCCCACTTCTTCTAACGTATGCAACATATACCAAAGTTTAATACGTTCATCCACATAAAAATTTAATGTGAATTTCTACAGTGAGATGAAGCCAACGAAGATAAGAATATTCTTCCTATATATTTTTCCAATTTTTAACTTATTTGAAATATAAAAAATTAGAATTTTTAGTTATATGTAAAAAGATTCTTATTTTCAATTCATAAATACAGAATAACTACTAATTGTGGGAAAATGTTCACTTAAACTAAATTTCATATTTATTTACAGATTTTATTAGCTATTTTTATTAATACAAAAAAATTTATTTTTTAGTTTATTTTAATTAAATACTATTAATTCCAGAATCATTTATATTTTTATGATGTATCATGTCTAAAGATTATATATATATATATATATATATAATAAATTTAAATTTAAATTAATTATTAAATTCACCACTTTTTAATTATATTCAATTATTTGTATACATTTTCTCCAAAAAATTTGCTGAAGGTTTATATTGATATTCTAAATACTATATTAAACACACAAAATCGATATCTTCTATTTATAATATACGTGAGTGCATTAGCTAACACGTATTTCATAAATATTCGTATTTTGGAAACTGATTTAATTCTGCTCCATTGCTTCAGAAGAATGGAATTTTTAATTATATATATACATATATATATATTAAAATATTAAGGTTGACAATTTTTGTTCAAAAAATATCATTTGAATTAAATAAAATAACAAACTATTTATGCGTTTTACGAACGTTATAGATAATTTAGTTTCAAAATTAGTATTTAAATACTAAATGGAAAATTTGGCCATAATTTAATATTGCAGAACTGAATTAATAAACTATTTGAACTGCTAATTATTTAATTAATATGCAATTATTGTAGTATTTTAATGGGAAACATTACAACACAAAACATTCTTTCTATAATTATTTTTTTTTTAAATTATTATTAACACTTTTTCAGATTTAAATCTATAGTAATATACATTTTTTCGTTGTTTTTTCTATTAATTTGTATATTAAATTAAAAATAATTTTAATAGTTTTAAATTTTAAGACAGTGCTATAATACTCTGACTTGTTACTAATATATTAAAAGCCTAATATAGATATTTAACTATCTAAAAAAAAAAATTTAATCAATAATCGTAGTTCTTATACAATACAAATTGATCTGTAATATTTCAGAATTGCTTTAATATTTAATAATTTTTCAATAATAAAATAATAAACTTGTAAAACTTTTTGCTATATCAAATAATGTTTTAACATAATAATATTTACCTTGTTAACAAACAAATCTTAAAAACAAAAAAATTTTGCTTAATCAATCAATTTGATTAAATTTTAATGTATATGATAACCCAAAGGAAATAATAAAATCATATATTACAATAGATTTCATTCTCAATTTAAACTCTTTCGAAAATCATCAATTGAATTTGGAAACAAAAGAAACTGCGTTAAAAAATTATTCCATAAAGCTATAAGTAATTCACTTTAAGATAAAAAGTTTCTTTTAAACTTCATTAAAATATTTAATTTCAATATTCCAATAACCATTTTATCTTATTCTTTGTTTAATTAATGAAAAATAAAATTCAATTATTTTTTAAATAACATGGAATATAATTGTAGTTTGAGATACTGGTAATTTATTATAAAATAAAAATTGTATATATATATATATATATGCACACAAATATGCAAATATACAAATTCATAAATAAATCAATTAGGTAGGAAATATTTTATGTTAAGTCACGAAGAATTTTTACTTTTCCTGTAGTTATTTACAATAATTATGATTTTCACTGCAGTAAAACTGAATGTTAAATTTGGTAATTGTAAAATATTTTTAAAAAGCGATTAGCTAACTACGATATAAATAAAAGTACCAATATCTAATGTAATAATTTCTATACTAATACAAATATGTAATAGCATACTTACAAAAAATACATATATAAAATTATTTAAAGTAAACAAGTCTTAACCTTATTTGTAAGCCAATAATAATTATTATTGCATACAAGAGTAATCGACTTTATTATTGAATGTTATAGAACATTGCTTAGATAATTATAGAAGATAATAATAGAAAAGATTATTTTTATAGATAAATTAATGTCATTCTTGTATAATATACACAAAATTGTATTTTTACAATTTTTTTAACAAAAATATTTTCAAATTTTTAATTATTTTGCAATTCACTTGTAGAAATAATTGGAAATAATAAAATTTTTACTAGTAAACTTTAGAACAAATACGTTATAAATAATATGTATTTCTACATATGGTTTATTTTTTTCCAATTATATTGTTGTAGACATTTATTGTATTGACACAATTGGTTCATAATTTATTTCTCAATTTATTAAAATATAATATACTAGCTTACTTTGGTGTTAACTCAAAAACGTTTTTTTAATTTTATATCAGATTTATTATTTCGACTCTTTGTAAATTGATTTAATTTTTAATTTTTAACTGAATCAGTCTATGAATAATTTATTAATATTTTGAATAAATATTTTGAACTTTTAATTATTTAACATCAGAATTTATTAATAAGTTATTATCAGTATTGTCAGAGCACACTTACTTTAATTATTAAAAACTAAATCTCGGACATAATTTTATTTCATACTTTCGATTCTAAATCTCTACAATAAATATATTTGAAAATAACATCTTACATCCTTCGTGTAAGAATTATTTAACTTTATACATAGTTATTATATTACAAAACAATGCTTTTGTGATTAAAAATTTTATATTTATAAAAACATATGGTATTAAAATTATACTAATTATTTTTTAAATTTCAATAATTTAAAAAGAGAATTTTAAATAAAACGTTGCACGCATGTAATTATCATAATAGCATATATATATAATTGGTATACAATTATAAATGCAATGTTCATTTTGACATCGACAATATCGGAATATTTTTTTTTTTATTCCACTCGATTAAGACTGTATTATAAAAATTAATAAAATAATTACATAGAGCTGTGTTAAAATGGCAGGACATTTGATTTATAAATTGGTAGATCTCTATCGAGCTGCATTTAACATTTATGACACTTATAAAACATTTAATATTTATGTAATATTTTCATAGATTAATTGCATAGATTATGATATATTTCTTTTATTATATATAATATACATATAAAATTTTCTTTCATCATACATAATAAAACATTGTCTTCTAAATATTGGATTTCATTCTATACATATAATACGCTTCATACATTCTCACATACTCCAAACTACAAAAATATGTTTTGCAACATTTTAAAGTACTTGGCACTGCAAATATGAGGGCAATTTTTCTTTTTGTTTTCTTTTCTTTTATGTAAGGCATGCTTTTTGTTTTGTCGATTTTTTGCAAATTGTACTCTTACTTTGTACTATTTTATCGACTAACAATAAATATTTGACTCTAATTTTAACAAACACTTTAGATTCTTTAGTCTTCAATTTTTTTATTATTTCAAAAGAATGATTTATACATACGTATATAAATTAAAATATTTAAAATTAATAAAACTATCTTTACAACATTTTCAGCGATTAACCATTATTTTAGTCAAAAATTGAAAAATATTTTAAAGAATTCAAATTCATTAATACATTATACTATTTATAAATGGTTTTAATAAATACATTATACGAATGGACTATTTTTAACATAATAAATATTAAAAAATTTGCTCTTATTTATATGAAATTATGATGACTGATATATTCTATTTTTACTTTACCTGTATCGGTTTTTTCAAGATCAATTATCATATCAATTATTATAAATTTAGAAAATGGTTACATTTTTTGCCCTATATTTATGAATTAATTTACAAAAAAATTTTAATGAACGTGAAATAATTAGTAAATTTACTTTTAGACTTTGCATGTATTTACAATTTTCAAATATTAAAATAATGAAAATATGACTATGTAATATGTTGTATATGACTATTAGAAATTTTTAAATATTTAATTAAAATTTTTGTTACATTAAAAATATATATATATATGAAAAATATATTTAAAAATTGTATTTAAAATATTATTTAAATTAGAGCCACTTATTAATAAGAGTAATTGAGCATGTAAGAGTCAATATTGTTAATGTTATCTTATAAAAAGAATAATTTATATTAGAAGCATTTGTTTATTTTTGTCGTATCTTCTTTTAAAAATTTTATTATTATTTATCGAAAACATAATATATGAATATATTTATATATATTCATTTTCAATATTTCAAATAGTATCACAATTGTTATATTTCTACATTATATTTTATAATTACTAAAATAAGATGATTTTTCAAATTTATTGTATACAAAAATGTATTCGTCATGGTTTCAGAAATCATTCATTACAAAAATCAGCTAAAAACTATAAATTTTATAATATAAAATTGTTTTTATAAAAATGTAATAATTCGTTGTTTCTGAATGATTTCTGGAATATATTTGAACAATAAACCATGTAATCCAAGTTATATGTCAATGCTTTAGGTGATTAAACGCTTTTGTACTTGTATATTTCGTAAAAGATCGCAAAAACTCGACAAAACTGTATAAATAATTCTCAATAAGACTTGGCACATGTTTTACTTTTTTATTATTTTTTTGTCATTTAATGTATTTTTCTTCAATGCTATATTAATTCCTAATTGTATAAAAATCCGCCAAAAATGTTTAATTATAAACTTTTATTATTTTCTTCGCTATATCTTATACAATCCGATTTATTTGTCAAGAAAATTTATGTCATAAAAAATATAAATTTATATTTAAAAAAGTTAAAAAGTGCGTAAATGCGCCCTCTAAACTACAATACTTGTACGAGTAATATTTCAATAAATAAATTATATACTGTATGCAATTATGAACGAGTATATTTACTTTATAGACTATATAATTATGTACTTATTCATTTAAGTTCTTATGAGCATGCAAAAAGATGCAAAAATTTTGTATAAAACAATATTGTGATTTAAAAATAAATATTAAACAAAAATGGTTTAAAATTAGAACAAATATGTACGTTTATCGCAAACAATTATAAAATATAATAAGGTAATTCCATATAGATGTTCAAAGTATGAATTTGTAAATTTTATGTTTAGATATAAATATTATTGTTATTAGATTATGATTTTTTCCTTTATTCTATTTGTTATAATGTTAATACTATGAATTATTAATACAGATTTTTTGTACTACTCGTCTGTATATTTGTATAATTAAATTTCCCATATTTATGATTAAATACGAAACATACGAAGTTTTATTGTTTTATTGCGATCTTAATGCAATGCGAAGAATATATATGTGAATATAAAAATGTAATTACACATAGGTGTTCTTTAACGAATTAAAAAATTTGTATAAGATTCACAAAGATTATTTATATAATATTTATATTTTATGGCAGTCTTAGTTAAGTTTTAAGTTTTTTTTACTTAATAATTTGATTCATATACGTAATCCATTAATTCAAAGCCGGAACTCTTATAATAATGCACATAAGGAGATTTAAAATAATTTCTTTAATTACACTTAAATTTGTCTACGTTAAACTTTAAAATTAAACGTTAAAAAATTGTATCACTGGACGTATTATCGGACGAAATTGATCGTCTTATTTTTGTTTTGGAAGACGAACTTTCATTTTGGGCTTTATTGTAATTAGATTATAAAATAAATATTAATTTAGAAACTTAGGTAACTTCAACTTAAGCATACTTTTAGTCTCTTTAAACATTTATTCGTTTTTCAAATATTTATTTTTAAATATTTCAAAATAAACACAAGTCGAATATAATAAAACACTGAATTACATAAAAAATATTTTTTTAATAATGTTAAAACGTCAATAAATACTTGTGTATATGCTTACAAAATTATTTGTAAATTCACATAAAACACAAGAATTTTGCAAAATAAATATTCTTATGAACTATTATAAAATTAAATACTTTCTTCATTGTAATGTAAAAATAAATACATTATATGTTTATACTAGTATAAAATCGAAAACTAGAATAATATTTATTGCTGTATGTATGTAAAAAGTGTTTTATTATTAAAATGTTTTACGAATGTTTTAAGTGCAACGCGTTAAATAGATGAAATTATTTTACAAATTAGAAAAAAACGAAATTAATATATATTTTATCGACTCTGCTTCTGAATTAAATATCTCCAAAAGTTAATGATTCTATGCTAAGTTTATTTGGACAAGCAAAGGAATCAAAAAACCTGATCCTAGCTATTTTCTGAAATATTTTCATTTGTTAAGCCATTGGAAGATAAGCGTCGAAACACAGCCTGCCTTCAAATAATTTTCCACAAATGCCACGTGAAATAGCAAACAACATCGATCTCAAAATCGATATTTCTCATTCGAAAGATTCAACAACTATCGTTACACAGTAAAGAGGTACCCGCATAAGCCTTAAGTACAAAAGGAAAAACATAATTTTTCCTAAAACTTTGAGTCTGCATTTTAAAAAAAGTCGTAGAACGGTTAGCAATAATTTGTCTCCATGTCACGATGTACGGTAACAGCAGCAACAACGCGATGAGGCGAGCCGAGATTCGTCGTTGGTGACGGCGGCGCCACGATCGTGCCTGTCGTTGAACTCGAGGTCGCTGGAGAGTCGAGGATCGTGCTACTTGTGGATGGTACAATGCCGCTCCCGGACACATTACCCGCCAACACGAGCAAAGGTTCTGAAAAATTCTGCTGTTCCGAGTCATCGTGAGGCGTCATCGTGCTATATCCATGATCACTATCGCCTCCAGGCGGTCGTCTACGACAAAATATTTGTATCGTTCGAAACAATGTGCATTTCGAATTTCAATTTAGAATTTTATTTAAACGTCAATTCACCTATAATTTGTGGAGACGCGGTAAGGTGAAATGGGCGCGACGATATCACGCAACAACGCAGAATCCATACTGGCCTTGGGCTCACGCTCGAGGTCCGCCGGCTCGACATCGCAGTCGAGATGCGTCATTCGTAATGTGTCTGGCGAATTGTGGTTGTGGAGGCACTGATGCTCGAGGCCTGTATGCACCGACCGTAGTCTGTAACAAAAGAGGGCGACTCCAAGCACAAGGACGAATGCCAGGATACCACCGGCTACCGGACCCACCGACGGCCACTCCTTCGACATTATCTCCTCCGTTGATTGCGAGTCTGAAATATCGAATTATTTTATAATGAAAGATATTCAAATGCTTCTATGCAATCTTTCATTAGTGCATCACATCTTTTAAGTAATGATCCATTAAGAATGTACCGGTAAAAATTCTGCATATTTAACAATAATTCGCAATTTAATGTGCAAGTTATTGCACTCGTGCTTCTTCATGTAAAATTTGCTCGTGCACAATTTTCTTTCCGTCATTAACGCGATGTCATGGTAACATAAACTGTAATGATCAATTACTTTGAGTTTTCAATACTATCGGTACAAAAATACAAGAAAAGTAGCATTTCCGTCCAATATCTCATTCTCGAAAAAAAAAACACGAAATAAGAGTCCTAAACTTCTCGCACTCGTCCATTAACGCATTTTACACAAGGTGCTTTTCACTAAAAGAATTATCGAAACATCCGCGAGTAATCGTCGCTTAACGTATCGGTATACTGTAACTTACTGTAGCTGCCGTCGCCGTAAGGTATAGGTGAACCGAACACGCCTCTGAAGCATGTGGCCATATCCGCGCAATAGGGCTGTTGGAGGCTAGTCTCTCCATCGCTGTCGATCTCACACCATTGGCAGCCAGCGATACCGAGGCACTCGGTCGAGGTGATGTAAGACTTACAACTGAAGGACTGGCAGAGCTTGAGGCCCGTGTCAACCGGTTGTATCCAGGGTGAGGCGAGGCTCGAGCCCTGCTCCTGGGGCGCTGGACATGGCTCGATGTCACTTCCCACGCTCTCCTCCAACTGACACTCGCTCGAGTACAATGAGCACTCGCAGGGACACTCGCAATCAGTTTGCTCCATTCGCTTGCAGTTTAGACAAGACCGGTCCATCTATATACAAAAAGTGGCATTTACTGAAACTGGAACGAGTTTTTTTTAATATGCATTTATCAGTTACTTTTTCAATTGTTAACGTAAAAATTAAGGTCGCTTGGCCTCGGAGTTTGATTTTTTAAAAAAATAATTACAATTAATTTATAATTGTTTATGATTTCGTATTGTTTGCTTTTATGGCAGATGCGGAGGCGTCTATACGTACAGTGCTGCAGGGGCAGAAAGCATTAAGGGAATTGCACGTGATATTGACGACACCCAGAAAGATGTTGGTTCCAGGTACGACGGCTAGCTGATACATAACGCAGTGCTCGCCATGAACGATATTGGTGAGTACCTCGTCGAGGGAGATGTTAAATTGGTAATAGCGCTGGGTGGTGCCATCCATGTGGCTTGAGCACATCTTCTTCTTCACTAGGAAATCGTGATTAAGTATATCGTTGGCCACGAGGAGCTCCTTATTTGTCAAATGTTGTTGCTCGATCTTGCTTGAGGCTTGGAGAAGGGACGGATGGAAAACCAAGTATCCTGTAAGCGGTTATATTGATCATCACTATTATAATTGTAAATTAATTTGCTGTATGGAGGAGAAAGTTAAAATTCAATTTCTTGATTGATTGTTTTGCAATGTCATGCACACTAATTTGTTTATCGTTAAACATAAACCAAATTATTTTATATTACAGTCAGGTTTTTGGCCAATTTCAAGGTGCTTCATTAGCATAATACGATAGCGACTTTAAGAATGAGACGGTAAAGTACGTGTTTTCAACAAAAGCATTTAATATTGAAGGCTTTAGAAAAGTGAATATGAACCTCGGTCATCCATGAGGAAGCACTTGATGTTGGGCTCGGCACAGAGTAGAGGAAACATCGAATCAAGCATCCGCGAAAAGTATCCGAGCGTAAGATCCATGGCCATTACGGCAACAACAGGATCGGTGTTCGAGTGCAACCCAACCGATCGACCCTCATGCACTACTTGACTGAGACTGACCACGAAACCGGAGCCTCCGGCGTCCAAGTAAGGCGGGCTCATGACAATACGACCCGGCTGCTGAAGTGCCTTCGTGTACCAAGCGCGACGCTTCGGATCGAGGTCCGAATCTAGCACTAAACCCGGATATACTTCGAGTACACCACTACCAACAGACGTCACGTACCTGTAAAAACCATTCCTTAATATATTGCATTATACTGGATTGCATTAACAAAATCAGGATTCAAATATCTTCCTTAAACTTCAATTATTAAAATTAATAATCGAATTCACATAATTACATTAAGTTTAATTATTGATTAAAATATTTAAATTTAACGCACCGTTGAACGATAAATTTGTTGAGGGGACTGTCAGCATGCCTCTCTTTGAAGTGATCGAGTATCTGGGCGAGCACGGCGACATCCGTCTTGACGTTCTCGCGCATTCCAGGATTGGTAAGTAGCCTCGTGACGTCTTTTATGTAGGCCATGTAACTCTGGACCGTAACGGCGGGCGCAGTCTCGAATTGTTTCGCCTGTTCTGCGGGCGACTTAAAACACCATGGAGAGAGGTAGATGACGCCAGTGTCGAGAGTCGCCACGCGATTGTTGTTATGAATGCAAAGGCGTTCGCGTCGCGCGCTCGGACCCAAGGCAAGATCCAATCTATGATGGAGGATGTCGGTAGGTAGAGCTGGTGCCACACGCACCTGGGGTTGCCGTGTCTCACCTTCGTCCGGATGTATAACCACCAAGCATGCGATTAGCTCGGGGTAGTTTAGCTGCCGCCAATGAAGCTGCTTGCGAAGGCCTAGAAGGCTTTTCACCTCAGCCATACCCTCCGCCTGTTCATCCATTCTGAATATGAAATGCGATTACATTACTACATTTAACTATATTGATCATATCTAGGGTTATTGACATTTTTTAGCATGATTCTGGTTATTGATATGATATAGGTAATTAGAGACTTCTTGAGTTATTGATTTTATCTGAGGTTGACAAGCTCATTGTATATATATAGATGTGGTTATTCTGTCTAGTGAAATTATATGTGCTTATTGGGGACATAGGGGTTGTTTAGGAGGAATGTAGTTTGTAACGTTATATATGTAGTTTAAAGTGATGTAGTATTATTGCAGTGATCTTTAAATATCTGTGTTTTATAAGATTATTTAGACTCAATGAAGTTATCTCTATATATCTGTGTTTATCTGTACTTATTGTGGCTATTGGAGGTAATTCAGATACTAGAATTGCTTAGGATTATTGCAGTTTTATGATTATTTCAATGTATTAAGATTATTGGTTAAATTTTAAAGTATTGAAATTATTGGTGTTAATTAAGGTTATTTAGAGATATATACTATTATCCGTTGTTATTAAGGTTAATGGTGTTATAGGGAAAAGTTAGGTTGTATAGGATATTTGGTGTTATTTTAGGGTTATTGGTATCCTTTGGATTTATTACAGTTGTTATAATTATTGGAGTTGTCATGGTTATTGGAGTTATTGGTGTTATCGGTATTATTGGGGGCAATTTTTATATTATTAGGGTTATCGTGTTTATCGAGGTCGTATTATTATCTGTGCTTATTAGAATATATGAGGAAATGTTAGATGGTATAGGGCATTAGGTATAATTTTTGGTTATTGAGATTGTTATTAAGTTATTGAGGTAGCTACGATTATTGGAGTTATCATTGTTATTGGAATTATTTGGAATTATAAGGGTAATTGATTCGGAGCTATTAATTGATTGGGTTGAGTCTGTGTTACGGTATGCATCTAGGATCTTTGGTCTTATAAAGGTTTTTCCCGGCATTTGAATTAATGTTGTGTTTGGACTCTGTTAGCACATTGGGTTAATTGAGTTCAGTTCAGAATTACGTGGCATTTGAGATAAAAGCAACTTGTCCATGGTTATTAAAGTTATTGAGATTATAAATGTGTTTGAAAGTTATTGGAAGCATTGGGGTTAGAGCTATTGTTCAGGTTTTTCGGAGTAATAGGAGTTATGGTAATTGTAGGGTTGTTGGCGTTATTGGGGTTGTTGGAATTATTGGAGGTATTGAAGTGGATAGTCTTGTTGGGATTAACTCAGTTTTTGGCGTTGTTGCGGGTATTGCGGTTATTAGGTTTATTGGAATTGTTGTGGTTATTGGGGTTATTAAAGTTATTTGGACGTTGGTAGATTTATTTGGAGGTTGGTTGGTCTTAGCAGTTTATAAGTTTATCGATGTCACTGGAGTGAAGTATGAATATCTGATTATTCTGTATAGTGGATTCGAGGAGGGTTTTCAACCAACCATGATAATTCAATAATCCGCCGAATCGGATCATTGGGAATAAGTGGTACATGAGGTTCTGTTCTATGGCCTCAAAAACGTTCTCTACGGCATTGAGATTAATGTTGTGTTCAGAAAAACAAACCGATTTTCAGAAATGAGTGGTCTTCTGGAATAAACATAGCTTTTTCATAGTTATTGGGGATTATTTTTTATTAATTTGATTGATGTTCTTGGGGTTATTATGGTTATTGTGTTTATTTGTATTCTTGGTGGTTACATGTGTTATTTAGTGTTATGCGGAATATTAGTGCACTTGGAATTATTTGGGTTATTTGTAGTTATTTAGAGGTATTGGTATTATCTAGTGTTCTTTGGCTATCGTGATTGATTACCCAATTTTGCCGATCGTCTTGCGATCAAGATTCTCGATATCATGAAGATAGACTTTGAGTGGCTGCTCTACAATTGTCTCCATGCGTGGAAAATCCTTATGCATCCATAACATCCCTCTTTTGTCAACAAGTAACGCGTGCATCCGCTGGTTACCGGCGTCAAAGTATGTCACCTCCTCCACGAAATCCCGGAGTTTTACGTCAAAAGAGAGTAGTGCTGTATTGGTTATTTGACCGATTGACACCATCATTGCTTTGCTGTACGGCTCAAAATATGGGTCCGAGAGGTAATAAGGTTTCACGTCGTCTTTATTGCATTTCAAACCTGAGATATGAATTTTAATTCGATTCATCGTTTCGTGATTTGGATCGAAGGTGGTATTGTGTTTAAATGACTATAAAATTTTAATTCAATCGATTTTTTAAAAAGCAACGCTTTACACGTTTTAGTCATTAACGAAAAATGTTTATATGACATTACATAACTTAGTAATTGTACAATGTAGGATTTAATAAAATTAAAATTTGTTGGCTACTATATTTTCAATTATTGTATTACCTGTAAATAATCTGGCGATCTCGTAACCAAGAACATGCTGGGTGGGCAACATAATAATACTGCCATTCATCGAGTACTCCTTGATATTGACATGAGGTTGTTGTCTCGATAGTATCAGAATCGTCCTCGAGTGTACGCTCAGTTGCTTGTTTTTGATAGTTTCAACGATATGATTTATATTGGATAAGTCTCGGATGTCGTTGGTCAAATGTATGAGAAGCACCTCGCCGGTGACATCCTTGACGATCGAGCCGATATCTAGACCGAAGGTTTGATTGGCCGTCGAACGAATGAGCGAGTCAATGTGTCGATCCAGCCTTATCTTATGGATATCGGTGGCACGTGCAAGACCCTGATCCGGGCAGAGTCTCGAACCGCCACCGACGAGCCCAACTACGGTTACGCGGTCAGTTTCCAACAGCATGTGTACGATTGTCTTGGCAGTAATCTGTGCAAGAGTTACGTCCTCTTCGGACATGAAGGCTGCGCTGTGCTCCAGTAGTAGAATAACGTTTTTCGATCGGTTGCACTGGGCCAGTAGCAGAGGACCAATATTGTGGGCGAGACTTGGCGGGCCACACATAGTCCCTGGCTGACTAACCTACAATTCCAGATGCTTTTAGAAATTGTATTATCTTTGGGATCAGGAGTGTTGTTTAATTAATTAATTATTAATTTACATAACACTTTCACTTTTCTGTTAATAATGTAATAATTTATGATATAATACTATACAATAAATAATACAATATACTAAAAAATTAATCAAAATGTACACCTTTTTTTTTAATATAATTATTGTAAACTATAAATAATTACATAGTATTTACCGGTAAAATATGTAAATTTTTCCAATCTTGATTGCGAAGATTCATAGCAAGAGCATCTGTGATCTTTGAGCAAATGTCTGAAGGTCTATTTGTACTATCCATTTGCTGGCCAGATGAATAAATATCTTGACTCTGTTTAAGTAGTATTGGTTGAATTATACCATTACTATCTCTCAACAAATCTGTGTACCTCTTCAACTTGTCATTTAAATTCTTTGTCAAGTCATTTAATTTGGAATTCAATGTACTAATAGAATCAACAAAGTCAAGCTTATCAAGTATAGTCTGAAACTTTGTTACACCGAGCTCATCGTTACTAAGGCTATGTAAATTTTTGGATAGATGGACAACCATATCTCTTAAACATACACCATTTAATGGTAACACATCAATTTGTTTCCTAATAGATTTGCCAAATTGACATTTAGATGCACTATTTGATAGTTTTTCATCTATTGTAGCAGTGCAACATGTTATAACCACTAATAAAATCGTACACTGTACTTGACAAAATGCCATGTTGATATTGTTTTTATTTAATTTTCTTAGTAGATAAATCATTCATTTATAAGAAATCATAATATGAATTTAACCAAGCTAGATAGACTTTGTTTCATCATAGTAGTTGAATTTGAATTCATGTCAAATTTTGAATATATCCATGGGAATTCAATTTAAAATACTATAAGAAATAATATATTTATTATTATAAAATCAATTTTCTTAGTTATAAATATTTGTATTTTTAAAAAATAATTTTTGAAACGAAAATTTTAAAATAGGATGAATCAAATATAAATTAATTTTACTAATTGATACATTAATATAAAATTGTAACTTGGAATGATTTGAGAAATTATACTAATACTAATTCATAATATAATTCATAAAAAATTCAAAAGCAAGACATTTATTTGTGAAACATTGAATTATAACAAAAATTACTATTATATTTAAATTTTTTATAAAGCTGATATAATTTATACTATATTTTACATTGATATATTACTATATTTTTGAAGTAAATTATATTGATAAATATAATTTATATACAATTATATTCAAATTTATTTATCATTATATATATAAAATTAGGTAAATAATAATTTGCAGATATTATAATTTTAATACTAATTTTAGAAAATATAAATAGTAAAATAAAAAAAAAAGTTTAAATTAAAAATATAAAATGTAACTTTGATAAATTATGTAACATAGATAATTAATATTTTTGTACAATAATAAATAAGGTTAAATAGGATATAATGTAAACTTTCAAACTAAATAAAAAATGCCATATTACCAAGTATCATAAATATATTTCTTATTTGTTTGGTTTAATAAGTTAATAAATACATACAAATGTATATAAATCAAAGATATTATGCTCAATACTATATAGAAATACAATTTTTAAAAATCACTTTAAAAAAAACATAAAATGACTTAAAAAAGAAAAGAAATTGAAATTTATGTACAAATGTAATTCATTGCTTTCAAAACATCTGAATCAATATAAAAATATACTTGTCGAGCAGTCAGAATATATGTAAATAAAACACATTTGGTTACCTGTCGCAATAATATACAACACATTGTTTACAAATGGGCTGACAAAAAGAAAAACCGGCCACTTTTAGTTAATATGATAGAAAATCGTCCCCATCGTTGTTGAATATCTTACGAAACTCCATTTCGAAGTGGTAAGTATCTCAGAATATTTCTGGAGAGTAGTAAAAAAAATAAAATAAGTAGTACTGAAGCAGGAGTCGGAGTTGTAGCGTCGCCTCTTAAGATAAAAGATGTGAAATATACATGTATCGTGTACAGCGTATACAATTTATAATGAATACTTTTCTATTTCTTCTGAAACTCACGTCTTTTCTCTTCTTTTTTAAAATAAAGTACCGAGATTTTTTATTTACATACTATGAATCCTTCTTTTATCATTCTTCTCTCCCACCTCTTACTCCATTTTTATAACAGAGTACAAGTTCTCAGGATTTACATCTCCTTTCTATGTACCAATTATGCGTGTGTGCGCGTGTGTGTATCTTATTCGCTTTCTCTCTATGTATACCTCACAGCCAATGAACTAACGAATCTTGCAAAAAATATATAATTTCACACATATGTAATTAACCCCACCACCTCCATGAAAAAATCATTACTACAAACTACACCCTCTATATATTTTACAAAATATCAAAAAATAAATATCCTAATTTCTTTATGTGGAAAATTTATTTTTATATAAGAAAAATCCTTATATCAATAATTATTGATAATTATTTTAAAATTTTCATTTTAAGTGATTTTAATGACATCATTGCTAGAATTTACTTCCATTATTTATCATAAAGAATCCATAAAAACTATTTTTATTATATAATGCGCATGCGTACACGCATTGATACAATACGTATTGGTCCGCTAAATTAGAAAGTCATTACTTTGTAACAGAAACATTACTAAAAGAAAACTGTTTAATAAAATGTATATCTCGTATGTCGTTATCTTAAAATATATAAAAAAACACATCGTAATTTCTTATCGTACATTTAAAGATTTATATATTGAAGATTAAATATTATGTTTAATTTATTCTTTTTATGTGATTGCATTGCAAATTTTTTTAAATATAAATAGAATTAAATGAAACTAAATAGTTTTATGAATCACGATTACATATTGCCCCTTATATTTTCTGAAATTGTAGATTTAAATAAATATATTATTTATTATAAAAAGTAATACGAAAATTTTGTTTGATAGAATTTATAAAACATTACTTACTATGAAATGTATTATAACTATTTAGTTTTCAATTTTGCGATGCAATTAGATACTTACGTTTGCAAAATTTGGCAATCATGTAATAACTTAAGGAAGATAAGTTTATTTAGCAGCGGTTTTTAAAATTATTCTACTTATAACACAAAGCGGATGAACTTACGTTCATTGCATTAAGATTGTTCACCACATTGTCTCTAACAATTTTAGATGCTGCGTTTTAAAACGTATTTTAACGTTGAAATGTATTTGATCATATCCATTATCGAACTATCAATTTACTTGTGGACTTGTTATTGAGATTTGTAGTTAACAATTATATTCGTGTATAATGAATACACAATCAATAATATACCTTAAGTAAATTATAAATTAGATTATTTAGGCATATAGATCGCTCTTTCTTTTTATCTAAGCATGAAAAAAACTCATAAGTCTTAAATCTTTCAAATCTATTACTTATATTTTTATTAATTTTATTAACAAGGATAATCGAAATAGAATAACAGTGCCTATACTCAAAATATACATAATTGTTTGGCTAATGAGAACGATATGCACCGGCCGAAAGGTGAAATTGTCTAATTATAAGAATTGCATTATACAATACAAAATATATATTGTAACTAATATAAGATATACTATTGCGACGATTGTTTGAAGAAGATGCAAATTCACACCAGCCACCTTAGTGGTAGTTATTATTAATCATTGCATCTGTAAAAGCATGCAAATATACTTTTTCTGGCAATACGAGTTTGCGCATAAGTATGTTATCTTCAATCCGTTTCTTAAAATACTGAATAATATACAAGCATCTCCAGGCTGAGTACAACAATCTTTTTACATTTAACAACAACATGAAAAAATATTTAAACAAATAAATGATTGTAGTCAATGACTTATAAGTAACGTCATTTTTATTTATAATTTGAAAATGGTAAGTTTATTTACAAGGGATGCATTTTTTTAATGATTGTTAAGTCACAAATATAACCTCTAATTTATATAGCAATTTATTTATGCCTATGGGCAAATGTAAATTATGTTCCAGGGATACGCATATACATACTTATTTAGTATCCGTGCTATTTGTTCCATTAATCATTCGTTTACTTTAACGATCAATTAAATTAGATAAATGATACTAAGATCTAATTTTTATCATTATTTTAGTAGAGTTTTTATAATTATTTAATGACTTTTACTTAACTTAAATAAATTTCATAAAAGTGAAGTTTATTGTTAAAATATTGAATTTCTGAAAAAGTTATAACACAAATTATCCACTTTAATAAAGTATTATTATTCTATTTAAATATTTTTCTTTAACTACATTAATATTCTTAAATATTTAATCAAACATCTATTCTACGTTCATTTTTAAAGTTTACTTTTGAAATATTTTGATTAATAAAAAAAAAAAAAATTAAAGACTTTCTTAAAATAATATTTATATTCATAAGATAGTGTAATATATAATGTAACAATATTGTTGTATTAATCTTCTTAAGAGATAGCCAAAAGAATATGTTGTACATGTCTATATTATAAATTTTTTAATAAGAAATTTAATTTTTCATATTCATCATTTATAAATTGAACTACTACCTATAAATAATAAAGTAATTTATTTTAGTGGGTTTTTAAGAGACTCAAAAACATTTATATTTCAGGATATATCTATTTTATGTAAGAGGTTATAACAAAGTGTTGAGCCATGAGAGTTGAACATTAGCTCTTGGCTCAAATGGATTAAGTTCGATAACTGCTTCAGCAAGGGCATCGTTTGAATCTTTTAAAGAGCGCGATGCCCAATGCCCAGCGAGAAGCTATAGCAGCAATTGCCTCTCCTCCAGATGAGACCAATATTTTCAATATACCACTGACTTTATTTGCTGGTATGTATCTATACCTTATTAATTCCTGTTATTAGTCTTCCATTTTTTAATACATTTTTTATTTAGTATTGCAAAGCCTTTTTTGATCTTTTTATCTTCATCTTTATTCTTATTATGTCTATATTTGAAAAATAGAAAACTAATAGTATACAAAAATACAATTAAATTACAAATCAATGTAAATAACATATACAATTAAAAATTCTAAAATTTCCATTATTTAAAATTGTTATTTCAGTTTTAGTATATATCTTGTATTTCTATTTGTTTCTTTCTGTGGTTTTTATATGCTCTAAATGTAAATCAAGAACTCAGAAATAAACATGGTTAATTGAATACCCTTCTTACATTTTAATTTTAATTTTTATTGAAATAGGTGAACACAGTATTTTGTTACTGACATTATTTTCATTCCACACTCTTCGATCATGAGCCTTCGATCATTTCCTGGTATGTATTTTATTTTTTCCTTCGTTTTGTTTGTATTTATGGATTCATGATTAATTTGGATGTTTAAATATTTTCAATAAATAATTCTAGAATGGTTTATGTAATTAGATATTAATACTTTTACTTTCTATTACTATTACTTTTATGTATAAAATTTCGATTATATAGACATTTTTCATTTTTCAGAAATGTGGTATCAAATGTTTCTATGGGCATTGTTCTCATCAATTTTCGTTCATACAATTGCTGCAGCTATTTGCTTCGCGACACTTCGTAAACATAAATATGGAAAGTACGCTCAGAAAAATATCAAATAACATAAATATAATTAACAACGATTTAATGTATTATACAAAATCTATTATTAATAATAAACTATTTGTTTGATTAAAATTGAAATATAATATAATATAAAAATATAATATTTTACGTTTATAAATGTTTACACTCTTTACGTTGAATAAGATATATCAATACTTTTTTCAATAATTAAAAAGAAATTAATCGAAGTTTTGAACAAATAAAATAAGACTTCTAAAAATATTATTAAAAGAACATTATGTTGTTTTCATTATGTAAATAATATAATATTCGTCCATTAAAATAGCGTTAAAACAAGCAATAGCGCATGGGAAAGTTGTTTTCTTATCAACTACCACTCTAAATATAAACTCTATTTAAAAGATATTTCTTTCGTTTAGATAAATATTCGGATAAAAGTAACAATCAAATTAATAATTAAAGCTTTAATCATTTGAAATCGTGATTTGATACAATCTCTTCGCTACGTTTTTCATCTTCATTCTCTTTCAGGTTTTTCCCGCTATTGATCTTAATAATGGGTATACTGATGCCGTTGACCTCGGGAGTCGTAAGTTCTGCAGCAGTGGCATTTGTCTACGGCTCGGGAGGTTATCAAATGTCACCTCTGTACGCACTACTTTGGGGTATTGGCCAGACTGTTCTCGCGGCTTGCGTTGGCTTTACCAGGATACTTGCAACCCTATAGATATTCGCTAATTAAACCTTGCATTTAAATTTTATTTTAAAGGATACAAAGTAAATGAAGTGCATAGCCTTTTGGATATTTATTGTGTTATGGACTAAGGCTAAATATCTGAGGCCTTTTCATTTATCCATGAGATTATTAAATTTTGTGATACAGCATTTTTATATCTTGTTTATGACTAGTGGATTTTCAAAGACAAATTCATTTTTATATCGTCGATACAAATTTAGAGTTTATGTCATATATATAAGGGGCAAATGCAAAGAAAATTTAAGAGTGGTAGAAGGCATTAAATTTCTTTAAAATTAAAAATTTGTCTATATTTATATTAAGTTTTAAAACTGTTATGAATATTCACATTTGTCATATTTTAGCAGATACGTGCGATTCGCTAAAATAATTAATTTGTAAGCTTTCAGTAAGAAAATCATAAGAAAATTCCCTATTTAAAAAAAATATGAAATTTGATTGTATAGTTTATTTGTGATAAGAATTGTTTTTTAATTTTTAATCAACCAATTTGATAACTTAATTTAACATTAACTATTTACTATTATGTTTTTCTTATTATGAATTGAAGGTATTAAAAGTAATGTTTCTCTTTTAAACATGCTTAAATAGTTTGCTTGCGTACACGTTGTAATTAACATATATATTATTTTTTTATTTCTTAAATTTTCTCAAATTATTGATTTTTATTCAATAGCTATGTTTTTTCATTGCAGTATTAATCACGTAAAAGAAAATTTTAAACAACTGTTTATACGTAAAATTCTTAATATATCAGTTGAAATTTGATAAACTGATGAATTAACATCATATTACTTTATTACAGTAAATCATTACAGAAGTTTTTTATAGCATTTATAATGTGCATAACACGTGATTGTTGCCTTATGCAAAAAAGAAAATAAGAAAAAACTTTGAAGAACAATCTTTCTCATCATTATATTAAGACAATTTCTTTATAAATTACTTATTTCAGATGGGATTGTTGTTAATTCACAGACTGAACAATATTCTAAATGTGTTTTTAAAATTGATTTTTTTCTAGGTAGAAATGTATTTCAATAGAATCGCAAAATGAGAAAAGATAATTTAAGGCTTTAATTGAAGCATGTACATAAAAATGATATTTTTTGTAATGTCATGTAAGTTTATGACAAAAAACTTTACTCTTAAAAATAATAATACATACTAAAAATATACATATATAAATTTTCGTAGTTAAAAGTAATTCAAATTATTTTTTAAAGATTTTTTCAATTTTCTCTATACTCTGTGAATATTTGGAAAAGAAATAATGAATGTATATATATAATTTAAGCAAAGTTTAATTAAAATTGCTATTTATATAATACAATTGATTTTTCTTTTTTAAAAATAAAATAATTAAAATATATCAAAAAAATAAAATGAAAGAAAAGAAAATCATTAAATTATCATTAAAGCACAGAAATAATTTTTTACGTCGATGTATTGCTCACGGAGTTAAAATTTTCTCGTCGAAAAAACATAAATGATATATAAATAAAGCTTTATGTTTACATTTCATCGACATCAAAGTCTACATGCTTTAAGAAAAATTTAATGTTAGATAATTGTCCTTTAAAAATGTTATATTACAAAATACTTTGCCTTGTTTTGAACAATATTCAACTTCATTGCGTTACATTAAACTAAAGACTTTATTAAGTAATATTGTAAAGACATTTTGTTTTATTTTGTAAGCAGTAATAAATTTTTATATAGCTTTTTTACAAAAGAATATTTTTGTAATGAATGAATAAAAGTAATATAATTAAAAAAATACGAAGATAGACAAAAACTATAATATATTTACATACGTCTTTCTAGTTTTGTTGCCACGTTTTGCGTTAATCAATAACATTATTTGTATGTACATATAAATAAAATAATCGTAAACAGTTAATGAAGCGATGAAAAGACTTACTGAAAATTTCGTTGTAATTTTATCGTATTACTAATGACATTTCTGACGTATTTCTTGATGCACGTAAAGAAAGTCGCATATGCAACATTGTTTTATCAATTTCTTAATCATTATATTTCTGTACAAAATGATATTTAATAACAATATTTTAACATTATTTTTAAACATTATATTTACACTTATAGATATATTGTTATTTATAATATTTTTGTCGTATACTTATAAATCTTATAAATAATTGTCTTAAAATTTTTTATTCAAAAACTTGCTTGTTTTTAGACTTTTTTACTTAAATTACATTTTGGTACATAAAACATAATTGGCAAATAGTTTCGACATAAAAATTGTTAATAACGATTATGAACCCAATTAGTAATCAGTTATCTCGAATTAACGAGTACAGAAATTTAAACCTTAATCAAAACTATATTTTTAAAATTGACTAACGAATGATAACCCAATTATGAACCAATAAAATATTGACAGTATTGTTAAAACTAAATTTTCTAAAACAAACTACACATGAATTTATAATTCATTAAGTATTCCTTCAATTCTTACTCATTTTATATAAAATTTTTTGTTTTACAAAAAACTAACTTTTTGTTAATTTTGTTAATTGTTATTTAATATTTGTGTCTATATTAGATTTATTATATTTTTCCATGGAATTAAATAATTTCTAGTTGTAAAGTATATATTAAAATACTTGAGTGATATCAATTATTATTACATATTTTAAAAATTAATATTAAAAATTTATTTATAGTGTCATGTAACAAAATCGCTCAATTATATTTTGTATGGCGTTAAAAAAAATTTTTTTTGTAATTTTATAGTTCTTAAAATAATTCTTAAAATCTCTTAATAAATTTGAATTAGTATTAGATTTAGTAAATTTATAGTTCAATATACCTAATAACATGTATTTAAATATTATATATTTATATGATTTTCAAATAAAATAATACAAAATTGTACAAAATTAATTAAAAAATTTTCAATTACTAATTATAGAATAATAATTAATCAATGGATTTATTTGAAAACTTTACACGATACAATAAATTAAATTATAAAACATATTAATGTATTTATAAAACATATGAAACATTATGTTAAATTTTTCAATACATCGCTTTCCTAAATATATCTAATACAAAAAAATAATATATAAATACGTTCTTTTTAAGATAATAATTTTATAATCAAGTAAAAAATACCGTAAAATGATATTTCATTATAGTTCACAGGGTATTTTTTGTATATTATTATATCAGATTAATTTTCAATATTTATAAATGATAAGTAATTACAATTATTGTAAAATAAATTGTTTAATATATTATAAGTCCTTTATTCATTTTATACACGTTAGTTGAGCTTATAAATAAAAAATAATAAAATATTATAGAACATTTACAAAACAAGTAAAGATGATCATTCTTTTGGGATAAACAGCAATAGATTTGAATTTATATCTAACTTATTTATGTAAGCATATGTAATATTGTACGTATTTGTAACTAAAGATTCTTCAAATTGTTGATTAATCACGGCTTTACAGGTGAATATTATAAAGTTTTTGATGAACAATGATAAAATTATTGAATATAAACAATTAAGAAACGACAGTAGAATTATATATAAGTGCTCATACTATCGTATGTATTATTTTGTCGGTAAAATAATTTACACAAAGATGTGTAAATGATGCATAATCATAAAATGTAATAAACGATTTGAAAATTCTAAGTTTTGTACTTTTCTTTAGAAATATTATCTAATTACTCGAAACAATGATTCAAGATGTATTAAAACCTTTCTTATTAAATATATTCCCTTAGTTAATTATATTGAACAAATGTTTCAAAACATATATTTTATTATTGAATTTATTAAAAGAATTTCTATTTTGAAAATGAAGTAATAAAATCAAAACAACATTTATTTATCATTTGTAATGTATTAATGTATAAAATAAATGCCATTATTTATTAAATTTTAAATATTTGGCTATATTTAATTTTGATATGAGTGTTGAATAATATGTTCTGTATTTTCGTATTATTGAATAAATTACGTAGCGTTTAATAATGACAGACCTGGCGTGTTCTTATCATATACACTAAAAAAGTAAAAAAGAGTTAAAAAACATTTATCATTTCTTTTCGAAACATATTTATTGTTTGTTAAATTATCGTTCATTTAATTGGTATATATATATATATATATATATATATATATATATATTAAACTACATTAATACATCTGTATGAAAACTATCGACGTATTACATTAAATTAAATATAGTACATATACATGATACATTAAGTAACAGTATATAAATAATAATTATTTATTTATTAATTTGTAATTAACTTATTAAATATACATATCATTGTTGATTAAATAAAAAATATACATCAGATTAATATACGAATAGTCAATATAAAAGTGTCGATGTGTTGGTTGAATACAATTCTATATGGGTCTTGATATTGAGATTAAGTCTAAATTAACCAATGATTGGCATTCATAGTTAGTAATTTTAAAGCTAAATGTCATGATAAATGTCTAGAGAATAAAAATATCAATAATATTACCATCAGTAATAATATTGGACTTGTAATTAAATTTATAGTTGTTATGAACCTTATATTCTCTACTAGCGTAAATACTTGTTTAGAATGCTCCGTGTAGTGAAAGGATTCGAATGTTTTCAATTATTTATACATTATAATAATGATAATCAAAATTTACTTAATAATTTTTAATTTCATGTAATTGCTCGATACCGTTAATATCATTGATTCTATTTAAATGAAATTTATTGAAGTTATATCTTTTAAAAAGTATTGACCAGTCTTCTCTTTCATGGTAAATGTTTTACCATCAAAATACAAATGTATCTAAAACCCTTTAAAACACTCTCTGCAATGGCATTCTTGGACGGATTAATTGTTTTAACGGTTTATTAATAAATTGTCCATAAAAGTATTTCTCTGCGCAAATATGATTTCTATCTGCCAGATAACATTGTTGATAGAATGCATAATATTAACATTTTCTTATTACTCTTAAGGAGAAATTAAAACTATTTTTGATAGTTTGAACGTTTATTTTCAACAATTAATTAAAACTAGTCATTGATTAAGCGTTTGATTTATATATTTTTACATCATCTTTATTATAATAAATCATTACTTCGTTCGTGTATTCTTATGAATATGTAAATTATTATTCCAAATTACCAATACTTTTAAAATAATGTTGAACAAAATTTTATATAAAATCCCAGATAGAATAATAATAGTAATATATGTAATGTTCTTTATAATAAGTAATAATGTATGTGTGGTTCAAATTTGATGAAATTTCTTAACAATGGCATTATTTCAATCATTCGTTTTACTTAAACAACTGAATATTGGTTTCGTCTATTTATTGTGATTCTTGATCCAATGGGTTGAACTCCCTCACCATTAGTTCATATTACGTGCTAAGCAGATATGCATTCACTACCGCTTTGATTCAACGACTTACATCTTTGCTTTTTTAATGCTAATATACAATTCGGAGTAACCATAAAAATATTAGTGTATAGTAGAGCAAATAATAAAGCTATTGACGATGTTGGAGAATGAAGTCAGCAGTTCGTTACAAATTAAAAATTATATTTTTTCAATATTTGCTTAGATTATGAGTATTGGCTAATAAGTTTGTTTTATGTATAGTTATCAATGTATCGATTTTGGAATAACGGACTACTCACAAAATACGTGTAATTTTTATACAAGTAGCTAACAGAAGTTTTCAGTCAGAAATAATACTATGATAAAATGGATAAATAACAATATTATAAAGTATTTAATTACCAAAATTATTATAAATAAAAATTAATTGAGAATATAAATATAGTAATTTAGAACTTTTTAAAAATTCAAATACTGGTTGTTTTTTATTTTTATTAATCTAAAAACAGAAAAAATAGTCTTAATATCAAAATATAGAGAAGTTTGTATGCGAAAAAGAAAATATTTATTAAAAAACAACACAAATTATATAAAACAAACAATTATTGTGAAATGTATTGTTTATTTGATTGTAGATATAAAACATAGCAAAAATCTATAAAATAACTTTAAAAAATTGATTCAAAATTATTTTTGATTTTTAAATTTTATACAAAATTTTTTTAATCTAATTTATAATATCATATAAATGATTATTACTTTAAGTCATACAGTTGTGTTTTTTGGAATAGAAAATGAAAAATTCATGATACAAATTTACTTATAGTTTTACAATAAATAATAAAATCAACAGTGGTTAATCAAAAGAAATACGCAAACAATTATAATGAGTTTTAAACATACCTTTATTTATTATTCTCTTTCATCTACACTCGTTATACATTTTTTATTTTTAAAAGTAATCATTTATAAATATGTAAGAACATTTTCAAATAGAGAAAACTCAACTACGTTCTTATGTACATGTGAACATTTTAGTTTTAATTATTAATAATAAAAAAGATATTCTTCAACTAATATTAGACATTATATAGGACTTACATACGTGTTTGTATTTGTGTGAGGGTGTTGTAATCAAAAGCTGAAAGAAAAATTCCTGAATTCCTCTGAGCATCCTTGTCGATTTTTATATTTCAAGAATGACATATTATATCAACACATAAACGGACACAATGGAACATGAAACTTTTACAAATAAAAATGTGTTCTCTTTGATCTGATCTTTCGCCTGGATGAAGTTATTATTCAGAAGTTTTGCTTGGTATTCCTTTTTGTCCATCGAAATTATAGATTAAATTCTTTATCTCTTGCGTTCATTGGATCCACTACGACGTGAGCGAGATCTTCGTCCTCGGCTGTCGCTTCGTGAACGCCGTGATCTGAAAAAATTTGAAAATCATTTCAAACACTTTATTCAATGAAAAATTATATTTTAATAGAATTTTAATTAAAAAAACATCAGTATTATCGCTTCGGCTGAATGATCAAGGTCCAAACTGAAAGGATATTCTTCAAAATTTAATCTACTTTCTATTTGAAACTCAGCTCGGCCTTTATCTTCATCACGTGTACATTCTAATTTAGGATTTATAAACTTTATTTTATTTAATTTACTAAATTATGTTAATTAAATAAAAATGTAATAGTGGGTGAAATTTTGATAGTTAAATAGATATATTAATTGCGCTATATCACATTTGTAATTATATATTGTAAATATAAAATATCTTTTGATATCAAATCAATTCACACACTTTCACTCTGATGAAGTACATATTTTATATATAACACGTAAAGTCCTATGAAAAAATATAAACAAACTTTTTAAATAGTAAAATTAAAGTCCGCACGATATTGAAACGAAAAATTTCAAAATAAAAATCGTGTTTTTAATATATTAAAATACATGCTCAATGTTCGTTTTCATAGCAATTAGTTTTTCTTTGCTTAAAGGTTGACATAGAAAGCGAGGGGAATAATATACATTTTGAGAAAATAATAATATACAGTCATAAGGGTTGATCACGCGGGCTATACAAATGCCTTTTATAGAACTGAACGAACCTCTTTCCACGACTGCGACTCCTTGACCTTGAGCGTCTCCTGTCTCTGTCCCTTCTTTCCCTCTCCCTCTCCCTGTCTCTTTCTCTGACTCTATCCCTGTAGCTCCTGTCCCTGTCCCTATCTCTGTCCCTTTCTCTGTCTCTGTCCCTGCTTCTGTCTCTGCTCCTGCTTCGATGTCTGCTGCCTGCCCTGTCGATCATCGAGTCGCGCTTCTCCTTCCTACGC